GTGAATGCAAGTTGTTGAAAGTAGGAACCTGCCTGCCTTGTTTATAAGCCAAAACCATCTAATGGAATTCACACAGGATCACTGACGCTAACCACTTGCTGAAGTGGCTGAAATGTCTTGAATTTCTGTCAGATGTCTCTCAAAGAAACTCTCTGCAAGCTGACAGGTTAGGCAACTTCCCATTAGGTGTTTTGTCAATTATTCTGGACAAAAATGGTTGACTATGCAGTTACTTTTCACAAGATTTTTATCCTTATTACTCTTTTCATTTTATTTTAGTAGGTAAATGTGGTATGGTAAAGGTTCTTGTGCTTTCTTGTTGTACTGTGTGCAGGAATGGTGAATTAAGCCTGTCAGGCAGCACACTCTCTCAGGCAGTGTACTTCTCCCAACAAGCACCATAAATAAAATGGTTACAGGCTTTACTGAAGGACATAAATTAGATGAAAATGAACGTGCAGGACACTTAAATCAAAGCCTAACCCGTTGTTGCACCACTGAAACGGGCTGTAGCCTGCATATGCCTATATCAAGTAGATGTGCTGACCTGATCTCCTGACAACAGACTTGAGCTTTAGTGGGCTTTACTGGTGGTTATTTCTACATGGTAACGGGTGATTTGTATGTGTTGTTCACACAAGAGGCACATCTTCCCTGGGATCAAATTCTCAATTAATTGATTGTTATCATTTATATCTCTAGAAAGTTATTTACCTGGAATGTGCCCTTGCATGTTTTTGATTAGCCAACACCTTGCCAGATGACGCTTTGCTGCGACAAAAGTTGAGCAAGATGAAACTTTTTTTTTGCTGGATCCTCACATTTGCTTTTTGTCTTCTTTGCTTGATTATTTTGCCACTAACCACAGGGCTGGCTGCTTGATCCCCAGCTCCTCCTGTCCACGTATCAAAATGTCCTTGGGCAAGACACTGAACCCCTAATTGCTCCCGATGGTCAGGCCAGCACCTAGCTGCCGTCAGTGTGTGTGCGTGTGTGTGAGAGAGAAAGGGACAATGGGTGAATGACAGGGGTGTAACGGTACATGTATTCGTCCCGGACCGTTTTGGTACTGGACATTCGGAATGGTGCACATGTGCACCGAATGCAGTCTTTAACGTCATATATTACGCTTGTTTTGTGTGTGGAAAATATGTAAATTCTGAGTTTCCACACGGACATAGCGGCGGACCAGATCTCCGCCTTACGGCGCTACACAAGCAGCATGCCTTAACTCAGCCTCTCGCTAACTAGTGACTTAAGCATCAAGGCCAGTGCATAGACGCCAAAGCTTGAAAACCCTCCCTTATTGTTAAGGTCTTCTGTTTGGGAACACTTCGATTTCTTAGTAAAATACAACAACAGACAAGTCGATAACACAAAAGCAGCGAGCCAACTCACTATTGGTATCACACGAAGGAGAACGTCACTGCAACAAGGGGAAAAAACTAAAATGAGCACAAGAGCTAATGCCTTTCGGCATTTAAACAGACAGACTCCGGATTATGTGTAATTTGGAAGTTTGTTTAAAAAAATTGGATGTTTACAAAAGTTCATAATAAACCAGCAGCAATTTAAAATTTGCATTTTTCCCCCCTTACTGTACTAAAAATAAAACGAACCGTGACTTCAAAACTGTGGTACATACCGAACCGAGATTTTTGTGTACGATTACACCCCTAGGGAATGATGGATAGAAGCAGCATTTGTGCACTATAGAGATGCTTCGATAATCAACACCAATACACACGTTGCCACAATTCACTGTCTGTATGACACCTAATGGTTTTGTCCACCTCAAATATTAAGGGGTCTCCATTGAGTGTTAAGCCATCTCTCTGGCCAAAGCGGGTGGTTCTTGACATAAATTTTCACCTCAAACAAAACAGCCTAACAGAACACCACTTCAAACATCTGCCTGAGTGAACTTTTACAAGACATAAGGGAGAGAAAGAAACATGTGCAACAACAGCACACATGGACGTCTTGGGGGGCAGCAACAGAATAATAAACAGACCAAAGTCTGTCGGTCACTAACAGGGTTTATTGTGCATGGCTGAGCACCCCTCAGACAGACAAAGAAAACAAGCAATAAGAAATATGGAGATGTAGAAAGATCTCTGGTAAATGTTCTGTGCACGTCTCCATCCCTAAACACTAGCCATCTGTTGACTCCTCCTGGGCTCCACAAATCTGAACATCATCTTTAAATAGATATGGACCAGGTGTCATCCCAGTCTAATTCAAAATACCATAATAAGATACCAACCATTCAATTCACAAACGGGTCTGTTGTCCGTGTTTGCAAGAGAGAGAGAAAGAGAGAGACCGAGTGAGAGGCTGTGCAGAGCGAATATGTGCTGCGCTGCAATCAAAAAAAGGATTTTAAAATGGGTCGCCACATTTACTTGGGCAGCTGTTAATCTACCAGGGCGGCCCGCCCAAATAAAGCCTATGTGTGGGAAACACTGGGTATTACGTTATAATTTTACAAGCACGGACCAGGTAAAGCAAGATTGAACACACGAGTGGAGATGGTACCACGTTTGTTTTGATCGTTTCGATAGGCTACGTCATTAACAAGCCTCTTCCACATGCGGCACACCAGCTGCTGTGAAAACAGAATCGCGGATGTGAAAATCCAAAAGACGTGTTCTGTGTCTTTGACGACTTTGATACTGCTGATGGAGAAAGTCAGCAGAGCCGACACATTCAAGGAGAGAGAGACAGGAAGAGGTGGGACAAACCAGTGTGTGTGCAGCAGAGGGGTACATGTGCATGCGTGTGGGGAAGACAGAACTGAAGGGAAAGGAAGTAGATACAAGTAGTGAGCAAACAAGAAAAATAAGGTGGAGAACGAGGTAGAATTAAAATGGTGAAATAAGAAATAACCTACTAGAAATTGACATACACCCCACTAAACTCCTGCCACAGTACACTGTCATTCTGTGGGAAAACACTAATGGGCCCTTACAAACTGAATGAGGAGCGGTTCTCCCCTATGCTGACAACTACTGTGTGGGGTTAGAAAAACACATCTAATCGAAACGCATTACAGTTAATGACAACAGAAGGCAATGTGCAGGTCTGCTGACTATCGCCCTGTCCGATAAATGTCTCCTTTCAGCTGAGGGAAGTAGGGTGGGGGAGACAGGGACAGAGACGAGAGCCAGGAGGACTCGGTCAGCCTGGGGGCACGGACAGTTGAACAGGGAGGACAGTGCTAAGCTGAAAAGTGGCTTTGTGGTAGCATAGTGTTCCTAAGAACTGTCCCCTGTAGTCACAACAAAAGGACAGTGCACTGGGCCCAGCTCCAGTGACTGGCCACAGTGTAGGAAATTAAGCTATCTGAGGTATCATCAGGAAGCATCTGGCAACCTCCATGTGGGTGCTGGGGATTATCCAGGTTCAAGTGAACACTGCAGTACATATCCCTCCCATTTAAGTAATTTTATAAACTGTTCCGTAGTAAAGAGGGTTGGAAGTTTTAGCGTGCAATCTCTCCAACAGCCTGCCCTTTGGTCATGGGTTATGTCTGCTTCTCTGCTGAGGTAACATGTATTGAAAGATGAAGTGGTCCAGAGGTCACTGCTGATAGATGTGTAGCACTGCATCTGTTCATAGGGTTTACATAAAACGGTTTCGGAGTGAGGTTCCTAAATCAGTTTGTTTATTTATAAATCTGACCCTTTAGCCTAATATAAGAGCTGCTATTTTAATTTTCAGTCAATCTGCCAATTATTTTTTAATTAAATAAGTCCTTTCAAAACGTTCTAAAATTACATGAGAACACAATGTTTTACACCATTGGGCACTAATGATTTTGTTTATAATTGTGGCTGTGTGCCATCCAATTCAGTGTCTTTTGATTTACTCCTAGATCATTAAGCATTGACTATCTTTACAGTCCAGATACTGAGCAGCAGCCATCACCCACAGCATTTTTTTTAAAGCTCTGAAGCACTTTAGCCTGATAAAGACTGTCCGATTAGGCAACAAATCTCATGATGGAGCAGGATTCGTATCTAGTATAGATGTGGTTTCTGAGTTGACAGAGTGATTACTCTGGAATAATGAGCAGAGACACAATGCACCATCTCCTGTGGTACACACCAGCTCTCAGGTCAGTGCCTGTGTCTACATGCTGTATCATGCACTTCAGTCACAGTGGGCCAATTTAGGACATTTGGGATGAGGTGAAGGCCTGTATGAGACAGTGTGAAGAAGTACATTCTGTCTGTTGATTAAACGTTGGTCTACCAGTGGGAAAAGGACACAGGGCTCCTTTGAGGATAGCGGGGCTGTGATTAAGAGGGTGGCACACATAGGCAGACTTACACTATAGTCTACTCCATAAATCATGGGTGACATGTCATAAAGTCAAGACATCAGGGATATTTTGTAATTAAGAAAAACACAAAACTGACTTAGAGAACTAGTTCTCTGGAAATTGATATGAGACCCGAGAGAGGCAGAAAGTGTAAGATAGCCCTCTACCAAGTTGTCACACTGTCATTGAAAAAGCTCAGATTACCACGCAGTATACATAAAGACCCATTCCTGAACATCCGGGTCCATAATGACACTTCAGTTAAGTTCATGTTTGCCAACAGTGTTTCAAAGATTAGCCCTCTAGCTAGAGGATGCTTTCTGACAGCAGCCAAAACAACAATGGTAAATCTGGAACCAGAGGCTGCCTGTCCTTTTATGCAAGGGAATGTATAACCCATAAAGAAGAGGAGGTCCACACCTTCCAAGACGTGAAAATCGTGATATTATTTTAAGGCTGTATCGCCTACCCCTACGAACCAGTTTGTACAGACATCTCCCTGAGCCCTGAGGAGAACATAGGAAATAAACCCAGCGATGCCGGTGACATAACTGACCCATATCTAAACTTCTCTCTGACAGCTGAGCCCATTAAATGAAATCCCTAATCCACAATGACAATGTGCACAAGTAAATAGCAGATGGTAGCAGAACATGCTTTCAACAATACTTACTCAAAGGTGAAGAAAAGTCCACAAGTCACTAGAATGAGGACAAGGGTGAGGTAGAAAACCCCTGTCTGCTTGGCCATCATAATCCTCCCATCGCAGTAAAATTTATTCCGACCAGGGAAGGACTCCCACTTCCTCTTCTTTGGCGTCCTTTTCTTGTAAGGGGTCTCCATTGGTGTGGAGCTGCGAGTGCTTATTTGGCTGTACTCGCACTCTCTCATGGACTCAGATACCCCGAGATGCATCAATTGCTTATTCAAATCTCCACAGCTGAATAAACCCCGGGGCAGATGTGCCTCTGTGAAGACAATAAACCACTTCAGCTTAGCATACAGGGTAAGATCACAACTTTTCAGACAAATGCCTGGAGTAAGTTGGGTGGATGAAAAAAGTTTGTTTCAAGTGAAAGAAACACTTCCTGTTATTAATCATATCTAGCTAACGCTCACAGTGCATTTGTGTAGCTTTTTAAATACACACCCAGACCCCGGTTAATTCGGTGAAGCAACAAATAAAGTCAACACAGCAAGTTTAGCTAACCTAACGTAAGCTAACTTGGCAAATAACTTCACCAGCAGTTCACACATACACAATTTAGCTTTAATAGCGCCTTTGTTAGCAAGCAACCTGGTTAGCATTTTTTAGCAGCTGAATCTAAAGTGCCGCTAAAGGCTAACGCGGCTAGCAAGTTGGTGAAACGGCTGGTAAGTTAATGCCCGCACGTTGGCCAACTTGTGCAATTAAGGGCTAACATTAGCACCGCGGCCACGCACTTCACACACACAACAATTTGGCTGTTTTACTCTGAACGCTCCCGCTGGAGAGGAGCTAAACGAAGGGCTGTCAGACACATTACAGGCACCCCGGCTGTGTTTTTCTGTGCTGCCTGCTGAAACGACACTTGAAGCACTGCCTTACCAAAGGAAAGTAACGCTGGTCGTGTTGGGGTGTTGTCACGCAGCAAAACCTTTCGTTATCCAGGTTTGTTACGAGCCGACGACAAAGCAAAGAACACCATTTTTAGAAGTTCATGGGTAAAAAAGAAAGAGTTTGAAATTGGCACCTCGTCGCCGCAGAAGAACTTCGTTTAAAAAAAAAAAAGGGGGGGACGGGGGTTTCAGAGAAAGACCACACGACTGGGGTGCTCTCTCAGACGAGCTCCAGCATCCTGGCTGACCGTCGCTCAGGAAGACGAGTCTTTGCGCACAACACGAACCGAGCTGGTCCTTACAGCCATATGTCCAGCAACAATCGGCGAATACGCATCAGAAATCTTCGCCATTCAGCCGCGCTTTCGGTACCCAAAAAAAAGTTGCAACATTCCCCAAGAAGCGTGCTGGTAGGCCAGTCGGCAACCCTCCTTTCACATTGTGTCCCTATCCACGCACCGTGCTGCCACCCTCACAAACAACCAACATCGACATGGGAGCGGAGCAGAGCCTCCCAGCCTGCTCCTCCCCCTCCAACTGAGGCTGAAGTCACTACTGAGGAGGTGCAAAGAGAGGACGGGCTGCTAAAGTGGTTTCCAAACCGTGGTCCGGGGACCTCGAGTCCGTTAGGGGGTTCCTGCTGAGCAGGGGCGTGTCCATGGAGGGACCTGGGGTGACGTGGATGTACAGTACTGGAGTCAGAGCACCAACACCATGCATGAGGATCCTCCTGCATCTTAAGGGAGCTTTTCATTTATGTTATTGTTCTTGCTTGATAGGCTACTTATCGTTTCAAAAAGGCTAAACTAAGGCCAGCTGCTTGTTGCTTGATATTTGCAAAACTGCTCTAGAAATGGGAATAAATTACATTTTTAAAACCTGCTGCCACAATTGCAACTATTTACACAAACTGAACATATCCCCGTGAATTCAGCATGACCTGCAATTTTGATCAAGCATTTTTTCTGCAAATTTGACCTATCATTGCGGTTTCCTGCAATATGTCACCTTGTTACTACCTTGTTTACAAGTCGCAGCAGACGTGTGCGATACAACGTCTCATGATCTTCTTTATCAAAGCTGTAAACTGTTGTGTTGAAACATAAAGGAAATCGTAATTGACACAAAGAGTGATGAGCTTGCTGTTATTACCCTCCCTGCCTTACATAGAACCTGCCTAACATATAGTATGAGCTGCGTGCAGTCACACATGAGAGAAGACAACAAACACCAGCAGCTGCTGTGCCATTCATCATAAACTTTGGCTTTTAAACTTCATTCAACAAGACCCAAACAAAGAAGCGCTGAACGCAAAATAGGTTAGTAACCTGTGCTGAGTAAACATGTTTAGCTCAGCATTGGCCATCTAACGTTAGCTTGCTTCTTGCTTCAGCTACGACCTACCGGAGGTTAACTCAGACTGAGCGTTTGTTTACTTGCCAAACTTGTGGTGGTCGTTTACATCCTGCTGGCTGCCATTATGTTATTATTACCGTTGGCTGCAAACAGGTTACAGGTTTATTATTGATCATGTAACGTTACAGTTTTATTTTGTTATAACGTTACACTGGTTTGAGAGTCTGGGGTGTGTGTTGACTTACAGTAGTTTATAAGCTGTCATTATTTGTAGACACATTGTATATTAGGCTACATGGTTGTGTTCTGTGAAAAACAGGTTACAGGTTTATTGTTGATCATGTAACATTACAGTTTTATTTAAAACTAGTTAACATTACTACACTGGATTTGAGAATGGGGGGTTGACTTATATTAGTTAATAAGCTGTCATTAATTGCATTGCACATCACATGGTTGTGCTCTGTAAGTGAAAAACAGGTGACAGTGAACACAGCAGGTGATAACATTCATTAGCCTATAAGTGACTTGACACTTGACTTTGACACTTGCTCAAAGACTTGTGAGCATCTCTGACCAGTGCTTTATTTGTAAATAATTAGGTGCTGGAGCACGTGAAATGTGCGGCGCTCCAGCACAAATTAAGCACTGACAGTGACACAGGCTGTTGCATCCCGTTCAGCTGCAAGCGCGAACTAGGTAAGGTGGTTTAAATCTGCAGGGTTAGGGTTAGGTCCACGAAATCCTGGGAGGACTGTTCAATGATTCAACTATAATTCTAAAGTAAAAAAAAACAACACATCTACCATGCATAGGCTATTTCACTTAATCCCAACAATTAGGCTATATTGCAAAACACGCCCAAAACATTGCAACTTTAAGTTTTTAGAAACAATCACAGAAAAGGCCTGGAGGGACTGGTAACTGGAGCTTTGAACACATCCCACCATTCCTCCTGCAAACAAATGACTTGAATCTGACTGAGAGCTCAATTGAAATGATTGAGAATCGTTTCAGGAAGTGATTCAGTTCATTTACCCAAAAGTTTTTTTTGTATTGGCTGTGTAACCAAAGCCTTTAAAGTACGTTCCCCTGTGCCATAGAATGAATATATCATATTTATTCACAGTCAATCCCAAAACACTGTCCTGGTGCAGTAAATACTCCCTCACACACCAAATCTGTGGCGGAAAATAATCCCCAACAAATATTATATAATATATTATTAATAATTATTATTCCGGGCATTTTTTGTCTTTAATAGATGAATGACATGCTTGAAAGGTCTCTGGCGGGTCCCAAACTGGGGACACCATGGACACAATTCTTTTTTTTAATAGACTACTATTATAACTGTGTCTGTAAAACTGCTGATGGCACACATTGAACTGCCGACAAGGTCAGCTAATATTCATTGTATAATGTGTTGTTGAACCGTGTAGATTTAACGTTAATAAAACTTTCCCTGAGCCAAGAAAAGCTTCTTTGTGATGTCATGTCAGTTAACTGTCTGCATGATAGGTGATGTTTAGAGTGAAGCAAAAACTTGTATGTGCCATCTTGAAGTATGGTATCCAGTTCTTTTAATACATCCATGATCTGTATCCTAGTAAACTAGTGTGGAACTGCTGCTGATCTGAGGGAGTCCCCCGAAACGTTATTGTTATAGGCGTGATGCTCCTTTACTGCCCTGTTCACAGCAGCAAAAACACTTCTTTAGTTCCCTGGAATACAGCCACAGCAGAAAGCACAATTATTGAATCAACATGATTCGAGTAGATGATAAAACAAACAAACATCACCGTCACTGACAGCAAATCATCCACTCAATGTAGGCACTGTCAGTCATATTAACTTTGTTTCCATTGAAAAAAGACTTGAAGTGATTTCGTCACAGAGCTCGTGCCCTGCTCTCATGCCAAGTACAGTTCTCTGATGATGACTTCCTGTTCAGCCCACTTTAGTAGAGATGAGATGATTGCATCATCAGCCTACTATTCCTCTGTCATCTGTCCTCCTCTTAACACCTACACACTCACAAGCGCACACGCAGGCGCACACCCACCTCCTCATCTTAGCTCGAAGTCACTCGAGCGGTTTAGCTCGTTCACTCCCACAGCCGTACAATTATCCACTTTCTCTGAAAAGAAGTCTGGCGGCATTTCATGTAATGTGAGAGGAATTAATTGTTCAGAATCAAACATCATGTAGAGAGGAGAACATTTATTCTCACTGCACTTTCAAGTCCTGCCACTGCACTTGTTGCATGAAAGTAGGATTTAGCATTATTTATCAGACTACCCATCTGACACACACACATACAAACACATTATTTCATATGCATAGATGGCTTGTCGATATAGCATTTCCAAGGTAGTTGTTATGTACAGTACTGTAAGCTGTCCCCGTCAAAGACTGTGTCATGCATTCGCAAACTAACAGAGAGAATGATTGGCTGGGCTGCTGGGCATCTGAAGCTATCATATGGCGCGTTTCGCTTAATCTGTTGGAAAGCTGTGGATGTTTTCAGTGGTCACTAATGATCTGTAAGTGCCCCCAGAGAATTCCTTAACTGTGGTGCTCGTTAAGCAATGTGATCATATACGGCTGAAGCTGTGTTTGTGTTGGGAAATGGGTGGACATGACACGGCCTTTGAGGCCGAATCCAACAACAACACGGGCCTGAATCACATCCTGCCAAGACCTCATCCAGGCAATATTGTTTCGTTTAGAAAGCTGGACAGGATGAAGGAATACACTGACATCAAAGCCTCATCAAGAGTCCAATGTACTCTGTATAGTCCCAATTACTGGATGCAGCCTGACTTGGTGAACACACAAACACACAGCTCACACCAGTGCCACCACACATGCATTGTAACACATCCCTGGAAAGGCCAGAGCAGTCCCTTTCGTTTTCACCCAATACTCATTCATCTACCTACGTTAGCGGTGAGAGACATCAGGGCAGGATACCCAGGCCAGCTGTAGCCAATGACGGGCCTCCTTTCACAGCTCGATGACTCAGCTTCTCAGAGGCACGGGAGTGTGGGAGGTTTTCTCCTGCGGTTGGCTGCCTACGTGAAACGCATTCTCCATCACCAAAAAAGTATAGCAACCCACTTTCCATCCAAAATGTAAATGACAGGCTGAAATTGAAAGCACTCAGAGGTACATAAGGCCCAGTCACTGTTTATAATGTGCATGTGCATACATTTAACAACAATAAAGCTACAGTTGAAATGCCAAGACCCAAAAGCATATCAATCATTTCTGTCTCCACAGAAATGTGCAGTAGTTGAAAGTCAATCAGGCTGTTAACCACCTCTTGGGAAGGTTGTCATTTGTTTAAAGGTGTCAATAAGATTTTAATAAGATGAAGATGAGTGATTGTAGCTCTCTGCAGCCACTAACGCAGGCAACAATCATTTTTTGAAACCCAACCTGTTTATTGCCTGTGTTGTCAACCTCAGAGATGCTTTTATTAAAGGCAGCTTAAAATAGGACTTTTAATGCTAGCAGGCAAAGGAAAGACGTCAAATTCCAACTAGAGAGGAAGTAACAATTCTGGGAAAAGCAAACTGAGGACTCTATTCAAAGACCAAATAAACAGAAAGGAGGAGAATTATGAAGAGTAATGGGTGCTATCAGACTCAGTATGATCCACAGTGAATGTAGCCTCTGTGGTGTTACCAGATGATAATAAGATGGGTTGTGTTGGCAGTTGAGTCTGTATTCATTCAACACTTCTTTCTTATATATTGATGCTTGAAAACTTGCTCAAATTAGAGGGAGTGTAGCAGACAGTAAAATAGATACAGAGAGGGATTGTCTTGTGTTTACGTCTGCTTTTAAATCCTGTTCCTATCTGATGTCTGTGTTTACACTCAACAACTTGCATGCCTTCATTAAAAGGCATCATCATCAACACTAAAAGAGATTTTTAAACTTAACAGTTCTTAAAGTGTAAAGTATATAAAGCGTGCTACACATTTATCATATTAATATCATCTTTGATTTGATCTTGGGAAAACTCTACAGAGGCATTAGTAACACGGCCACAATGTCTAAAATTGTTTATAAAGCTGCAGTTGTTGGAGGTCAAATATAATCTAATCATGGGATTTAAGAGGAGGAAAAGTCCTTGTCTTCAGAAATGCTAAAAGTGTATGAATAAAACTTTTAACTGTTTAACGTGCAGATATGTAAGAAGGGGGACTAATATTATAACACAAAGAGATAAACAACCCAAAACTACATACAGAGATATACAATTGTCATGTTAAAAAATGTGATAATTTGCCATTATATACTAAAACAAAAGCAAGACAAACACAATCACCAACATTGTTTTAAAAATAATTCTTAATAGTAGTAGTAGTAGTAGTAGTCTGGGAATAAAGAGTTTAGATTATCTGACCAAACAGAGGCACTGTGAATGTTATTAGTAACACCTGTGTTTTTCCTACTATGACTCAAAATGCCTGCTGTGAAAACGAGCCTGTGATTGATGATTTTTGTCTTTTTTTTTTATTGGAAAAGGGTCAATAGTGCAACAATGCAGATAAGACATGCAGTTTTAGTCTCGGCCGCAGAAAGGTCATCGTATGGGGCAGAAAAGCCTGCCAACAGGGCCTGGTAACAAACACCCCTCCCTTTTTCATAATAGCCCTCTCTAAGATTTTTCATTTCTTTTGTCTTGGACTTAGGTGATGTCCTTCCCGAATACAAGAACACAAGTGCTTTAAGAGCTGGGTGGTATGGTGTTGTAGGGAGGAAGTGTACCTATCACTGTGCATGCTGAGGATGGTGGTAGAAAGGTCATCAGCCTTTTTCTTAATGAGTAAAGTATGAAAACTGAGGGCTTAGAGGAGCTGTTCAAATTGAGTCTGGGGTCCCATGAGTACAATAAGCTTTACACTGGACCCAGACCTCAACACAAACACTGCAACAATATAGCAGCATCATGTGACCAATAAATGGTTTAACCATTTCATGCCTTTTGAAATCTGCCTACATATTGTACAAATAGACGCACTGTATGCATCTAATACCCTTACCTTACAGTTTATTAGTATAGAGAGACTAAAAACTGACTAATGGGAGACTATTGATATCAGCAGAGGTGTCACAGAGTTCAATCAGACAGAAAACAATCAGGCCTTTTATCACGTGTCCTCTGGACTCTTGCCTGTTACAGCATTTCAGTCATTGTACAACTTCAGTGTAAGGCTTGAGTAGTCAATTGTGACTGTGATCAAACTATTTTGAATGACATCAATAAAAGGAAGTCCATGTAAGCAGTTGATGTTCGTTTTATTGGCCTAAGATTGTCTGGACATAATGCAACGTCTCCGGTGCTTAACGATGTTCATCATTACATTTATTTGTGACATGTGCAGCACAGAGTATAAATGTGTATACTGAATAAAAGAGAGACATGGAGTCATACGAAAAAAGGCAAATTTTACAGTGAGCTTTCAGGACATTTTGAAGGTTCTTTTTCACACGTTTCTTTTGGAGCATTATCTAGATTCAAAAATATGCCCGTTGACATGAATGGAGGACAGTAACAAACAGAAATGTGTTCAGTTTTCTTAAGTCACCTCGCCTAGATATCCCCTCACCCTGGCACTTCCACGTTTGTTTACCAAAGCGATTGTTTTCTCAGCTATAATACAATGCATACAGGAATTTTTACATTGAAACATCAGTTACACCTGCCATGTTCAAATATTTGACCCCATTAACAAAATATGTATAATAACAATAACAAATTTTACCAACAATAAAAGCATTTGTTATAATAGTCAGAAAGTCCCATCTGTTGCTATGCTTGATTGAGACTGAAAGAATCATGTGTGTCCATTGTACAACGGTTTATATACACAGTGATGAAAAAATACAGACATAACACAAGTGCTTAGGAAACACAAAGTCCATCTGTGAAAGTCATTGAGGCTATGATTGATAAATTAGACACGTCTTTTGACAGACGCTCTCTCATGTTGATTGGCTGGTGCAATGCTGCCTCCTTATGGCCTAAAGCACACACTGCAGGTGTCTTTAAAGATTTACATCTTCTGGTTGTTCTCAAAAAAGGGACAACTTGCTCTAGTTCTATTGCACAATTTATCTTCCAGCGATGGAGACATATACATTTCAATTTAAAAAGTCAGTGTTTTTTCCCCCCATAAGTGTTGGCAAAAAAGTTGAAACTACTGTACAGTGTCACATTTTAAATAAATACTCTCCATTAACAAAATGCTGACGAGTGTAATAGCGTTTATAAAACTGAAAAACATCTCAACGACTCATCGCCTCAAAGGAACCCACGTAATTCAGCACCAAAATCTGGTGGCAGCTTTGGCTGAAAAAGTAAACAAACAAAAACAAATGCCAAACAAAATATCAAACGTAGCAATCGAACACCAGCAGGTATTAAATATCTGTATTAAAATGAGCTTTCAGATCCCAAACCCACTTTTTTAACAGGGCCCAGAAGCTATACATATATAGAGATATTTTGTTTATGTGGATATTTCTTTTTAAAAAAACAAACATTTTCTGTCATTTTGATAAATAAAAATAGAAAACCACAGAAATATCTAGTCCACCTTAGCGTTTGCCTTGTGAGTCCTGCCTCTCCTCTTGTCATGATTTCCCTAAGTGAAAAAGAACTTGGCAAATAACACCCACCACTCCTGCGTTGAGCACCGAGGAAATGGAGATGTCTAATAATCTGCTTTCATACAGCACAAACTCTGTCTTGTTCTCCTCCACTTTAGCCATAGCTAACAGGCCTTTAGCTGCTCTGCACATCATGTTTATGCTAGGTGGGTCCATAGGGGGGTGCCCCATGTGCAGCAAGCTGTGAGGGTTCTGTTGGTACTGCGCCATGCTAACACCATCCTCCAAGAAGCCTACCAAGTTACCCACGCTGCCCTTCTGCATGGCTATGGCACGTGCGGCTGTGGTGTCTCCTTGTGCCAGGTGGGAGAGAACAGCCACAGCCATCTCCCTGTACACCTGGGCCTTCCTCTGACCCACGTACCGGACCAAGACAGTGAAGAGTTTCTCCTGTCGGCTGAAAGGCGGCGTAGCTAGCAGGAGGTCAACATTGTCGCCCAGGATGCTCAACTTGCAGAGGCACTCCAGCACCAGCCTCTGGGGAGTGAGCTGGGAGTGGGGTGCTGCTGATGGGAACGGGTCCTGGGCTTCAGCAGAAGGGCACACCATCCAGTGAAGAAGGCCATCCAAGATGGGGAGGCAGATAGTGTCTGGATAGGTGGAGAGATCCAGCTGACCCGAGATGTTGGCCAGAGTGACCATGGCGTTCTCCCTGAGCAGACTCAGGCACTCCCACCACCACTCCTCTTTGCTACTCGTCAGCCCCTTCTCCTGCTGCTCATCTCTCTGGTAGCTAGGGGGCGACCTATTCCTCTCCGGGTGCTGGTGGTGCAGCAGGAGCAGCCTGCCCAGAAGTAGAACCAGAGCAGGGTGGCGTGACATATCCAAGTCATTTCCCGGGATAAAGGATAGGCTCCGGATGATGTTGGAGACGCAGAGGCACGCTTGGCCAGCGAGTCCTGCCAGGCGGAAGCTGTGGAGAGCGGGGCCTCGTCCAGGCAGCGAGGCTCATCCTCCAGCAAGGTGATGTGGTCCTGCTCCCCATCCAGATGCACCCTGAAGGGGTAGGATGGCAAGGAGCGTGCGGGGTGAGCATACGAAAGGGCGTCGACCCGTGCGCACAGAACATCATCAATAGTAGCAGTGATATGTTTCAGTGGCTGCTTCTTTCCATCGTCCACCTTGTTTTCCTCTTTGTTTTCTTTTCTTGTCTTTCCATCCGCCCTGGCAGGTGGGTCACTCCGAGGTTCAAATTGTGTTTGAATGTGTGCGGTGGAATCACCTCCACCCGCCTGCCAGTGAAGCAACCCGCTGGTGAACTCAGTGACGTAACCAAAGTGCTCAGTCATGTCTTCAATCAGGTTCTCTTTGTGGACAATCTTGATGGGGAGCTTATCATATTTACTGGCTTGTTTAGCTTTAGGTTCTAGCTCTGCTGCAGGCTGGGAAACACACTCATTTTTACTCTCTGCTCCTTTTTCACTCTCTTCCTCGTCTTTCCCCTCTTTCTCTCTGTCCTCTTCACTCTTGTCCTCCTTCTTTACGCTCACCTCAGACTCCTCCGTCTCACCGTTCACCTCCACCGACGCTGGCTCTGCAGTGACAGGTAGAGCTTCCTCCATGGCGCTTCCTGCTTGCTCCACCCGCGTCTCTGCTGCCGGACCTGGCTCAGCTTCAGGTTGAACAGCAGAGTCTGTTTCCTGGTCAGGGATGGCTTCTTGTTTCTGGTTAGCAGCAGGGTCCAAAAGGCTTTTCTGAGCCACGGTCCCCACCTCAAACTCTTCCAGGATCCCAAAGATCTCGATCAGACAACGGCGGAAGTACTCCACAATCAGCTCGAGGAATCCAGGCAACTGGTCAGACAGAGATCAAATTAATGTCAACAATTTCAGCAGAAGGAAAACGTGTTGCCAAGTAGTTCCAGATGATGAATGCTAGCAAAGATTTACTATCTAGGCAGAGAATATTTAATTAGAATCACTTGTTTTCAAATAATCATAATATCTTGAATTCTTTGAACCACTTTAACAAGTCAGAATAGCATAAAGTCTTCTGAATGTTTTCCGCTCACTGTCATTTTATAGATCCTACAATTTTTATAGAATCTACAATAAAATAGGTTAATCTGAAAGACCGGGCTTAAAGAGACACACTGTTGTCATACTGTCATAGCATGCTCTACCAGGCTAAATGAATCCGTTCTGTCAGTCAGCAGTGATGGGTAGTCATGAAATTGGATTTACCTGGGAGAGGTTAAAGGAGGCCACAGTGCTGTCATCGTACAGCAGGATGTTGATGGTGTCTAGAGCCCATGTGCTCTCTGCCAGCAGGCCAGACTTCAGAGACATCATCACACGCCAGGCCTCAGGCGTTCCTGGGATTAAAACAGCAGAATTTTTGGAACCAGGAAGAGAGAAAAAATGGTGATTAGACATTGTCCAACTGATAAAAGGGACAGTGAACAGAGTAGATCATTGTGTTTCCTTTCATAAAATTGATCTCATGTTGTGCATAGTTCTACCTGAAAATTAGGTGTAGCTGTACAAGGCTTGAATATACCATGAATCCACAACTTTTCAAGCTAAAGGAACGACTAGAATTAAATCATAATAATAATAAGACTCACCAGTGTCCTTGGAGGTGAGCTTGCGTCGGGGCTTAAGAATAGGCATGGTGGCCTCAACTGATCCTGGCGGGTAGTTGAGGTCCCGCCTCAGGTTGGGAGGAAACTGACCAAGGGGTCCACTGCCCTGTGGGCCCATCATGGTCATCCCAGGCTTAGGCATCTTCATGGGTGACATGAACGGTGCTTTGCTGGGTGACATCCTAGAGTCCATGGAGCGTTGGAAGGCCCCTGGGCTGGGTGCTCTGGGCAGGTGGTTGGCCATGGATGGAGAGTTGGAAAAAGAAGATGGCTGGCGTGAAGACAGGGGAGGCATGCCACCTGATGATGACATGTAGGGAGACTGACGGTGCCACTGCTCCTGCCCGGGCCGCCCGTCCATGTCATCTCTACCAATCGAGCCATAAGGTGGCATCTGTGATGGCGGCCCCTGTCTGTTGGGGTAGGGATAGCCGAGGTCTGTCCTGGACGGCCACATGTTGGGGCCATCGTTAGCATGGTTAGTAGTGGGCCCACCAGCCATCATACTGTGCTGGCTCTGACCTGAGGGGGCCATGCGGTCACGGGGGTAGGGGAAGGGAAACTGTCCCTGGATGGGTCTGTGTTCAGGGCCTGAGTACCCACCCCCGTAGTGGTTGTACATGTCCGGCTGCTGGTTGGCGTACTGCATGGCATACATGTCGCTCTCGTGTCTCTTGGGTGGGGGGCCATACATGCCATCCATTGGCCGTTTGTAGCCCTGCTGAAGCAAGGGTGTAGATAGTCTGTGATTATTTTTTTGTTAGTAAAAACACAGAGCCATGGTAGATTCATTCTCACGATTCCATGAAATTATATTATAACAATGATAATGATAGTCTCGACTTTATTTGTGTTGCACCTTTTATGCAAAGGTACAAAAAGAGTAGTAGGAATAAAAATGAAGAACATTAAAGTGAATATTTGAATAAAAAAAAGTAAATTAAATTATCACCTATAACACCGATAACAAACTAGTAGTAAAATTGTGTATCATATTAATAAATATATAAAACAATAAAATTATCCCAATTACAATTTTTGGGGAAAAAATTAATGCCTTTGGAGGACAGGTTTATGAGTCCCTTGTGTAAAGAAAAACCCTGTAAATATAGTATATATACTTGTTAAGTTTTTATGTGTATATGTTGTTATCTGTGTTTTAACACTGGTTGTAGAGTACGCATGTGAGCCGGAGACCAATTCCTACATTTGCCTGCACTTGTAGATGAATTTGACTGAACTGAGATGAATTGAGGTGAATACACACAGATCGCTGTGTGATCCTTCCTACAAAAATCTCCACAATTTCCACTGTGCACTTAGAGCAGTGAAATGCAGAGATACAACATGTGTGGAGGACCTTTTGGTATGGTTTTTACTCAGTTCTGAATGTTTCTAATATATGATACAATATAAAATGAAGAAGTACTATTTTTAACCAAGACATTAAGAAGCATTTAAACTGCTGTATTTCCATCCTATAGTTAGAGATAAACAGTAGTGACTACAAACAGATGAGCTCTCTCTCACCTGTTGCTGTGGGTACATCCCAGATGGATGCATCCCATACGGCATGCCAGGATACTGCTGACCGTAGCCATCATGTCTGAAACAGAACAGGCGGGTTAGGAGGAATATATCACTCGCTGTTTCAAAAAAAGGATTATCAAAGTTACATGAAGACATACAATGTTGCTATAGCTTTGACTTTCTACACAAGTGTACTCTACTACACTCACACACAAACACACAGGTGCTGACCTCTGCTGTGAAGGGTATCTACTGGGAGAGTACATGCTGCCCTCACTGTTAGAAGGTCCCATGTTGTTCTGACTCCCAGGGGGACCCATGCTCCCTTCCATCCCCATGACATGGTCCGGTCTGAGGGACAATAGGAAAGTCTTCATGTTTCTGACAATCCATCACTGACATAACATCTATAAACGTATTTAATTATCCCATACACTACTGGTGAATATTCTGTCTTGCCAACAATAGGAAAATACATACAATCAATAAAAACAGTATAGTATACCCTTCGGGGTCATGTTAGGGAAATCTCAAAGAAATAATGAGATACTAAAGGTTCACCACCCTCTTCCCCTCTTCTGGTGATTTGTGTGCCTACCTCCTGTCATAGCCTGGGCCGTATGGATACTGTGACCGTTGGCTCATGCTCAAGGCTGACGGGGGTCGACCATACATGTCCTGCATACCGCCGCCAGGCATCTGGGCAGGTATGTAGGGATCAGCTCCTGCCACTGTGAAGGAGGAAAGCAATTGAACTAAATGCATCTTACATTATTTTACATAATAATGACTGAATTTAGACAACATGGACTAAATAGAATAGAAAATAAGGATTCTAACAGGCATTAACAAGCTAAAAAATAGTCTTTGACTGTCCTAGGAACATGCACGAACCATGTTTTCTGCCAACCACCAGGTGGCAGCATTCCTCTATGAATATTCACCACCCTCCATGATTAAACCTATTGTTCTGAGGCTGCAACTGTTGTTATGCAGCTTACATCCATCCATATTATTCATTCAGGCTCCATTCTCTTCAGCCTTCAGAGGAGCCGCTATCCTTTCTAAAACTACTGTTTGTTCTGAAATCTAAACCACACGAGTTGGTCAAAACAGGTGCTTCTCAGCAGGACGGAAAGGATGAAAGGTTGAACACGAGGAGGATGAAAAGGATGAACAAAGTTAGGATAAGACGAAGGCTAAGCTACAAGAAAATCAGACGAGCTGGTGTGCTTTTGATAAAGGGATGTGTGGTGTAACAAACAGTTTTCATTTCCTTTCATAGTCCTAGTAGAAAAACACACACACACACACATCTGTTGTGATCTGAGATGAGGCAGTGACTAGACGATGAATTAGACCAACGAGAGAGACGAAAGATGGCTGCTTTGGGATAGTTCTGTCATTCTGTTATAAGTTTTTATATAAACTTTTAAATGTACATATCATTTAAAGCCTATGTTTATATGACAATACAAAATGGCTGATTATACAACAATTTTAATAACAACAATCATATTCACATAACTCAAAATATTTTGTAAAATTGGGGAAACAGGTTTAGGGGCTTGTGTTTTGGGGAAAGGGTGTCACGGTGTGTGGCCCACTCACTCTTTCTCATCCCGGCGAAGGGGTCCTTGGTGTCATACTGCATCCTCATCATCATGTCAGGCATGCTGAGGCCTTGCTGGTAAGGACCTGAGGGGGGCAGGGAGGTAGCACGCTTCTGGAAGGCCGGGTCGCTCACCTCTGAGAAGGGGTCCTGTACGCTCACACTGCTCCTGGACAAGGCAAAGAGAGAGGGAGGGAGAGAGGGAGCGACGGAGGGGAGAAGGTGGAAGCTGTGTGAGAGAAGTATAGATCAGGGATTGCACACACTGAAAATGTGGATAGGATATATGCTGTGAGGGAGTTCTATTTAAATACTTCAGATATTAATAATTATATTTATATTTAAAACAGTTTTTAAGTAACTAGTTAATTAAACTGTCAAATAAATGTAGTGGAGTAAAAAATAAAAAGTAGAATAAAATAAAATACTAGATACTAGAACAGTACTTGAGTAAATGTACTTCATGTTCATTTCCATCACCCTTCATTTCATTTGTGTCATGCATGCACATAGTAGTGCCCTGCCAACATGGGCTTAAAAGACACCAAATATACCAATGCAGTGGTAAAACAACACTTCATAAGACAAGAATATAACTTCTCACACATAATATCACGAACAAAGCAAACAAAGGACGTTGTCTACTCTCCAAGGCTGCAAATAAAATCTGCCACAAAAACAGCCTCCCACCTTTTGTAATCATCCAACAAGAAATCTGAAGGACATCTTATGAAAAAGTAAAAGCCTTAAATCATCATATGAAGAGCGACAAAACATAATGTGGATTTCATCTTCAATCTCGCCTAAATCACTTGATGGCTAAATGTTTTTTGAGATAATGTATCTGAACATAACTTTGCACATAGTGATCTTTTACTTAAATCCTGCTTTACTACACAGAAGTTATTTTTTTTATGAGACACCAACAATCGGTGTTAATACAGAAGGATCAATTTGTGTTGACTGATATCACAGTGTAACTTGTTTCATCAAGTTAATCAAGTAGATTAATCATATAATATAATGAGAAGTGGTAGAGGCAGTAACAGTATTAATATAGTATCAAAAGCAGCATCACCTCTTGGAGCAGTAGCAGTAGCAATACTGTAGTAGTAGTGTTAATAGTGCAGTATGTCTGTGTGGTACCTGTTGGGGGGCAATGGTGTGACCTGTCCCAGTGGGGTGGTAGCAGGTGTGGGGGGTTTCAGATCCCCTGCTGCCTCCGCTGTAGAGCTGCTGCCAGAGGACTGGGGCGTCTGTGGGCCTTGGAGGGAGCCACCAGAATTAGCTGGAAGACACAAGTATCCTTCTTATATTTTATATATATATAATCATTGCTAGATGATTGCACAGAATTCACATTCAGACCGCAGGGCTCCTCCGTGTCTTCAGATATGATCGTGAAGCTGGTTTGAGTAACATCGGCCATAGTGGGCTTTTCCCTGCAGCGAGGTGCTGTATTAGTGAGATAACTTTGGACTTAAGGCCAAAGCACTAACAGTGGCGCTCTCTATGAGAACTGAGCTCGAGCAAACAGTCTACATGAGGGCAGAGAAGATGAGTATGGAGGGACTGCGTAAGAGGAAGAGGAGAAGGGAAAAGAGGCAAGAGGAGAGGACAATGCAGAGAGCAGGGAAGGATTTCTCAGAGGAAATTGCCCACTTGGGTGCTTGGGCTCTTTATTTGGAAGCTGTTTGAAGATGGTTTAGCTGGCTTTTTTTTTAGGTGTGCCATGGGTTCATGGGGAGGGCTAAGTTGGTGGACACAGATGTATTTGAGGATAATATATATGTGTATATATCTGCCATTATTGTACTAGGTACAATCAAATTATGTGCAAGCTACTACTTTGTCAACCCTGAATATGAGTGAAGAGCTTGAGAAAGCGCTTGTGACTTCCTCCTAGAAAAACTACAGGGACTCAAACTGGGGCTGAAACTGGGTTAGTGTGCTCTCTTGTTATGACACCGTATTTCTGTGAATTTCTCAGTTCAGATGAAAATTATAAGAGTGCCAAGCTACAAGAGCCCAACCACACAAAGAACCCACAAACAGATAAAACCAAGGGATACAAATTCCCAGAAGCAGGTTTAATGGAAAATGTGGACCGTTCTGGCTAAAAGATGGCAAAGATGGAGAAAGAGAGAATATGAAAGCATCCTAATGAGCATTTAGTGTGAGAAGACTTTCCCTGGAACAGCCTCAGTGGCCTTTCCCAGCACTGCACGTTTCCATAGAAAAAAAAAGAAAGACTTAAGCTTTAAAAATTCATGCTAATTCTGAATTATTCAATGATACCCCCTGCCTCTACATCATAGGAGACAGAGAGAAAGAGAGAGGGAGAGAAAGACAGGGAGGGGAGGTTATCCAATGATGATGAGCAGAGGTAGGAGAGAGGGCAGAGAAGGGGCAGCGAGCATTAGGGATTCTTCACTTCCTGGGATATCCCCGCTTCAGATAAACATGAACGCGCGCGCACACATGCACACATGGAGAAGTGCAAACAATGGTGGGGTTAGCCAAGGTTAAGAGGATCGCCATTCCTCAAGAGCAGAACGGCAGACAGACAGATACATAATACGGAGAGGTGGGTGTGTGGGGGGTGGAGGAGAACGTGAACTCAAGTGCCCTCTGCTCCACATTTAGAGGGTGAAAAGACTGTGCAGGAGGCATGTGGCTCACGCTTGATGTGTGTGCACACAAGAGCTTGCGAGCGTATGTATGTATGTGTGTGTGTGTGTGTGTGTGTGTCAGAGGGTGACATAATCCAGAGGGGTGGTGGTAGTGGTTAAGGGGGGTGGGAGGGGGAGTCGGTAAGACGAGTCAGTTTTGTGAATGAAAGGTGACGGCGAGGTCGAGTTTGTTTACGTTCTACATTCCAGTGCTCATTAATCACACCCCACACCCCACCACCCCCATCAGCCCCGCTGGACAGGCTCCCTTGGTGACATCATTGGGCTGTCAGTCTATATATAGGCTGGCAGGGTGTCAGTAGGGCAGAAAAGCATTCAAAGTAGATCGAGGCAGAGGTATGAAAAGGAAATCTACGGGATGTTTTCACAGCTTGTGAACATGTGGTATTCAGCACTTTACCCCTAACAAAGTTTTAGAATTGGGGTGTAAGTAATAAAAATCTTTATGCTTGCTTCTATGTTAAAGACAAATGTACAAACGTGTCCCTCTTTCAAGTCATTTTGTATATTTAGTTTTAAAATCCTAGTTATATTAAATATTATTAATGTATGCATTAATTTCACTTGAATGATGCATCACAATCATCAAGAAAATCCAATGTATCTAGATTTAGAGTAAACACATTTCACCACAATGGCTTTGGCCATTTTTCTATTGGTAATGATAATATTGTACAGATCAAAGTAATTGCTAATATCTGGAAACAAGGCAACATTGGCACACTGAAGTCAGATGGAGCAGCAAACGAGCATTCAGACAATCATACAGGTTGGAAACAAGTCAGGTAGCCAGATTATATTTACCACTTAAAATGTAAAACCAAACGTGAGTGCACCAGAAATGTCAGTAATAATTACGGTTGAATGTTTTCCTGTGATTTATAGGTTATTACATCGCAGGAATATCTTTCCCCTGGTGTCCTGGGATATCTCGCCATAAATGATGTTTGTATATAAACATCATCAGCACAACAGAGAGTTTATCATAAAATTAAGTTTTTGATTTTATTCTTATTCTTTCGTATTCATTAAATCAAGTGGGAATACATTAAACAGAACAACAATTCCCATATAAAACTAGTACTGAACTACTATCAATAGTACTACTAATCTTTGAGGTGGAAAAACCACTATGCCAACAATACAGGATCATTTGATTCATTCAACCACAGTAACAGTCCCTCACTGCATTGGCCATGGCTGATAAGTTAGCTCAAAATTCAACCAGGAGGTTGGTCTGTAAACTATGATGAAGGTTTACAACACGCAGTTTGGGTAATAATGTTACTGCTTGCCTTTTTTACACTTTCAAAGATGTTTAGCTAACTTGGGTTTATTAAAAACATGTCTGATTGTCTGACCGCTCGTGTTCCCAGATCTCAGCAGTTAACTGGTGAGTACAATGTTCGAAATTTTGCAAATAGACCCAAATAATAAACTTGATTTATGCTTCTAAATAAATGTTTTAAATGCGCATTGTTGAATACTTTGTAGAAAAAGCTTGTTTTGGCCTTGTCTAACATAGCATCAGTATTACAGTACTAGCTGGGGGTTTAACTCGACATCTTTGCAAATGAGGGCAACTCATCACATTTAAATAAAGGTTTGAAATTAAATGAGATAAACATATTATTTCAATCAATGCACTTTACAGTGCAATGCTGCATATCCAAAAGGTGGTCCAAACATCACAGGTTCATCACTCCTTTTCATATTTCACAATATAGATACTATCTCTGATTATGTGTAACATGGTCCCATCAGCTGATGTGGGTAAAATGAGATTCTATGATACTGACCTGGTTAGATCCCCTTGAATAGATGACAGGGGGCTGAAATGGGAATTATAAAGTGTTAGGCGCAAGAGGGAATGTGTGTGTATGTGTGTGTGGCTCATGTGTACTGTATGTATGTGTGTGTACATGTGTACGTGTGTGTATGCAAATGAAGGCAGATGCTCTTTTCCACCCACCAGGAGAAGCAATCTGCCTCTGTGTCTCAGGCAGGTGAAGTGCTCTGATGTTCTATTTAAAAGCCAGGGTCACTTTTCTCATCTCCGCTGCAAATTAAGAGACGTGACCTTACCACACTATAGCGCTCCGGCTCCTTCTCTCTCCTCTGCTGATCCTCACGTCATAATTTTGCACAGAGACACAGGGTGTGTACATGTGATGTACACAAACAAAAGGCACCCTCCTTTGTGTTAAGCTGCTGCACCAAAACAATCTTACTTAACCTCTAACGCACCGTAATAAAATAAAGGTGAGTCCCGGGTTTGAGGTACAAATTAAACTAAGAATTATTTCATGAAAACAGTGTTCATGTTCACTCATCTCTCAGCAAACATTTTCTTTCTTACCTCTAGTGTTGTTTGCCATGTAGATTTGTCATTGCTGTGAGAACAATCTCATTCACCTAGACTGTATCTGGGTGAAAATCTCACTTCAGGTAAAACCAAAACTATCTACCTGTGTAAATACCACTAGAGGTAAGCGGAAAAAGTGTGTTTCAAATTGCTGAGATGGTTAAATATTATGAGGGTTAATGAACATATCAGTTTTTGGAGTACAATGCATTTTTTGAGCTTGAACTAATTTAACTTATTGATTGATTTTCGCTCTTTTGTTCTTTACCCTGTATCTTATATTAATCAGTGTTGGGCAGTAGCGTCGTTACTAATTTAACAACATTTCTCAGTAGCTTGGTGGTATCGTCGCTGTTTTCTGAATCACATAACTTTTCAGTAGAGAAGCTTTTTTATTGGCCGAGTAGGGAGGTAGCGTCCACACACGCTACATTTTCCCAAGTATTTCTGAAGCTCATGTCTGAAATACAACTACTAAGGATCAGTAAGACGCCACTGCCACACACGGACCTGTATGTGTAGCCGACGGAAGCACTTCCGTGTGACGGTGACATCACGTACCGATCCTTGGGCTGATGTCTGCGACTTTGCTGCGGGGAATGAAGACACGCGAGATTGAGTTTACTTTCTATTGTGATAGTTATTGTAACACATCTTGTGAGAAGGATCAGGGTCCAGCCTGGACACCGCTTCCTCTAGTGAGGAGGAAACTGATATGTAGTGGGAGAAACTTGTTTCCATGAGATGAGATGAGAGATTCTCTCTCTCTCTTTCTCTCTCTGGCCTATTGCCATGAATGTTGCCAGAGCACAAATTCACATATAAACAATAAAACAATGATATAATTAACAAAACAATGAAATGACATCATAAAACTAAAGAAAGAGGAAAAACAAACTCAGAACACAAAATATATTACATTGAAAATATGTCTTGCTTTTTGACAAGCAGTAGAATTTTTCAAAGGAACAATTTTTCAAATAACAAACCAAATTAATGATAATAATGTGATTTTACAGTAACTTTATACAAACAACAATAGTTCTCAGTTTGTTGCATGAGGAAATACATTTTGCTACAATGATATGGCAGTAAGTAGGGGAGTTTCTGTGTTCTGTGTTTAGCTCTCTCTCATGCACACACACACTCTGTTTGGAGCAGGTTTTCAGTCTGCTACTGTGGAATGAAGTTGGTTCAATATAAACTAGGCCTGTGTTTGTGTGTGTATATATATATATATATATATATATATATATATATATATATATTTACTTTAGCTTGCTACATTTCACTGGGGGGTAGCTTCTGTGTAGTGAAGCTTCATTTAATATAGAGTAACTAGTAGCTTAGCTCTCTACATTTTCCAAGTAGCTTGCCCAACACAATTTCAGAGCAACCAATTTTCTGTGAAATAAGGACATAAGACAAAAAGAACCAAATAAACATGACATCAGGAAATTCCATATACATGACACCTCCTCTCTTTTCATATTTCTTAAAATATCTTTGTTGTTGTTGTTGTTGTTGTTAGTAATGGACTCTCTGGTAGCCATATTGGACGTCAATGGCTCTGAACTGTCTTTGCAGTGTTGGACAGATGTAGTTAATTTATGTTATTTATAGTGTAACGTTGATGACTTTGGCAAGTTTGGCTAATTCATCTAATGTGCACAGCAGCTAACATAACATAGCTGCCTGGGACTAATAACATTGCCTTTTATTTATTTGCCACATTAACCTCATAGCTAATTAGCAACATAATCAACAGTTTGTTAGGCCAAATGAATGGACTCTTAAAATTGTTTGTCTGACACCAAAACTCACACAGGAGAACAAATGTACGCAGCAGGCTAATTAATATTTACTACGAATATCTGCACATGCTACTAATACTTCTGCTTGTTCTCAGTCCTTCAAGATTCTGGCACTGCAGCTCCTGTCACTAGGAGGTTTCTGACTCAGCTGCAAAGCCTTTATTGTGATGTTGTACGCTGCATTGCCATGAATACAGATCACTGTCTCTCTGATGATTCCTGACACCTGTAGTTTGATCAGCAGCACCTGTTGTGCTGGTTGCAGACAGATGGGAGAGTGGAGTTGTGAAAAACCCAGCGAACCAGTCCTGTTATTAGGTCTTACCAGGTGAGGGTGGCTGGATCTTAACCTGCTTCCTGCTGTCCCCTCCAGCCATGCTGCTACCGCTGCTGCTGCTGTCTGCCGGCGGCTCTTCTCCCCTCTCCATCTTACACTCATAGGCAAACAGATACTGGATGTACTGCTTCTTGAGCGAGCTGGCGGAGCTGCTGGATGTACCCACGTTCAGGTTGGTGGACAGCTCGCGCCATTTCTTGTTCTTGTTTACCTGGATGGTTGAGGGTTGGGGGAATGACAAGACATAAGTCAAATGAGGATCACTGGTAATGCACTCATGTCCTTTCTCTCTTTATGAAGTAGTGTATACTAGTAGCCACAAACCGGAGTCGGCAGACCATAGCCTGCTGAATTTAATCAAAATAACCAATTCCATGGCTGGGTACTTAATTTTTTTTATTGTTCACATGTGAATATTGCACATTTATTTTTAATAGTTTTCACTACTCATTACATGGGTATTATAAGATTATATTATTTAAGTTTACTGCAAGTGAGGTTATGTTCTGCTCAGAACACATTTTTTGAACTGTGCAATCTGTCTGTTATCTGTTAACATTCTCCCAATGCATTACCATGGCGAGGCCTCCTATCTCCCGCACAGCTATGTAGAGCTTCCAGAGGTCCAGCGGCTTCTTGCCCACAGTGGGAAGCTGGGCAACAGGCGTACCCCTCTCCTCCATGAAGGTCAGGTATCGCTCCACCCAGCCCCGCCTCTCCGGCTCCACGCCCAGCTCAAACAGCCGCGTGATTCTCTCCCCACTGAGGGAGGAGGAGTTTGGGTTGGCTTTCTGGTGAGTGATGAAGAGACAAAAATATGAGACAGGTTGGCCTATGGTAATGTAACACATAAGACCTTTTGGTTTACTACATTCAAGTTAATACCATTTTTTAAATTATATTATGAAATGGTATAATAATAATAATAATAATAATATTAATAAATGTACATCCTATACTTGAGTGGACACATAATTTACATACGTTTTTAAAAGCTAATTTGTAATTCATACACAGTATACTATAAATTTTATTATATATAGTGTATTTTGCAGTTTACTTTTTCTTTGCTGTATCCTATTGCTGTTTTCTGCTACAACAAACCACTCTCCCCATGGGGATCATTAAAGTTTCATCTCATATTTACACATTCTGAAGCAGGCCCTTAGTTGAATGACCAAACAAATATAAACACTTCTTTAGAGCCTTTTTCTTCAGTGTGCAGCCTGTGTTTACTTCAAAGTTCATTCACAGCACATTCAAATCCCTCAAGTTCAAACTGGTGGACAAAGTTTAATCCTGTACAGTCGCGTCTGGCTACAGTCCAGGTTTAGAAAAGACTTCTCTGGTCTAGTAACCAGTTTTTTATTAAGAAATTACACAATAATCCATCTAGTCATACATAAATCAATCAAACTACCAGCATGTACTAACATTATTGTACATAAAGGGCAATTCACTTTGTTTCACTGATCGTTAGGTCTCTTGGTTTGGTCTGTGTCTATATGCTAATTTAATTCCTGTTATTCAGTAAATGCCCACGTCCATCTGTCCAATAGAGTTTGAGTTTCTAGCTCTTACAGGACTGGAGGGGGTCTTGAGGGGCCAGGGAGGACTGCTGATGCTGTCGCTGTCATCTCCGTGGTAGGAGGACAGGCTGGCTGGGCTGGGTGAGAGCGGGGAGGGCACGGGCAGGGCACCTCCCGGCGTAGCTGGCTGGGACACACACTGCTGGGAGCCGATGCTGCTGCTGTTGTTGTTGCTGTAGCCATCCTGTAGCTGGAGAGGAGAGAGAGAGGAAGAGGACACAGGGCTTTAATTTTCTTTGGATCAAAGCAGCCATCAATGTCACCCACTTCCTCAGTATCAGTATAACACTGTGGTGTGTTATACACAAAGGTGTGTACCTTTGTGTATAACACCAAAGTACATTGAGTACTGTACTTAAGTTCATTTTTGAGGTACTTCCACTCATTTGAGCATTTCAATTGAGTATACTTGTTCTTTACTGCACACTGTTTTTTACTCCATTACATTTATTTGACAGCTATAGCTATTGATTACATTCAGACGCTGTTATCTAAAGTGACTTACAATAAGGCGATTTTGTCAGAAGACAGTGAAAAAGCAATAGATAGCAGTCGGTACAGTAAGGATGTCAACAGAACAAGTTCCAAGCACTCATATTGCTAGGTTAGCCATTGCTAGTGGACACAGCAAAGATAACTAGGCTAAGATGCTACACAGTGCTATTTGTAAGAGCCAGGATGTATAAACATACAAGTGCGTAAGAGTTAAAAAAAAAAAAAAAAACTTTTTACTGATAATATTAAATATATATGCAATACTTCTACTGTATTTGTAATGTAACATTTTTTACATTGTTGTATTGTTACTTCTACTTTAGTAAAGTAACTGAATACTTCCACTGCTGTTTGTGTCAAAGCGGGTCTAGCATTTCTTTCCCAGGGTGTATAGCCATCAGTGTTAGAAAAAGAACTCAGATATTATTATTATTTATTTATAATACTAGTAGTAGTTATACCACAATGTAGGAATACACTGTTACAAGTTAAAGTACGAGTAAGAGTGTCCTATTTCAGAATAATATATATTTTACGATTGGATTATATTATCAATTAACTAATGATTATTAGCTGTCAAATAAATGCAGTGAATCTTCCTGTGAAATGTCAGAGTAGAGGTTTAAAGTAGCACAAAAAGTAAACTACAGTCCTTGAGTAATTATGCTTAGTTACTTTCGTCCACTGATATAGCCCTGTAGTTGAAGTACAGTGTGTGTGTGTGTGTGTGTGTGTGTGTGTGTGTGTGAGCGAAATAATCTGCATGTCTGTTTATTAGTCTACATACATAAATTCATGTGTTTGAATGCGAGAAATGTAAATGCATACTGATCTGCAGTCTGTGTCTATATATATGTGTGTGTGTGTGTGTGAATGTGGATACAAGCTCCACTTTTTGTGCAAATCACTCCATGTTAGCTCACATCAGTGTGTGAGTCTGTGTCTATTGTGTGTGTGTGTGTGTGTTTATGAAAGAGACCGCGAAAGAGGGAACAACAGCTTGACAAGTGCTTCTGGTCTGTGTACAGAATGCTCATGTCAGCAAAACCTTATCTTTCTCTCTCTAGCGCTCTCTCTTTCTCACTCTCCTCTCCTCTCTCTTGGCAGACAGATCATCTCTTTTGGGAGCACTGGGGGTCTTTCTGGCTGCTCTGACTGCCTTAAATAATTCAAAAGGCCCTACTACCGTAATCAGCAAAAGAAAAGACAGGGATTTGGAGGGAAAAGACGTGTAGTAGATGTGATGGAGGCGTGTGAGCGTGTTTGTGCACGTTATGTGTGAGTGTGTGTGTGTGTGTGTGTGTGGAAGAGGGGTTGTTAAGCAAAAACAAGGGGAGGGGGTAGAAAAGAGCAAAGAGCAGAGTTCTGTTGTTGCTGAGCTGAGCCAAGCCGAGCTGCAATTGTAGGGCAAAATGAGAAGTCAGCATTGTGTTTTGGGACTTGTGTGTGTTTGTGTGTGTATTAAGAGGAGGCACTGAGGACGTAGTGTTTAAGAGAAGGATGCTGTGCATGTGTGTGTGTATGTGTGCGGCTTCTTGTCTTCATGTTGCATAAAATAAATAAACGAATGTGCTTGTGTGTGTGTATGCACTTTATTTCAGTGTTGTGTTTGAACATGTATGTGCTGTGTGTACTGCAGATGCCGAGCCCTCTCTCTGTGTCTCTCTCTCTTTTTTTTTGCAGCTCGGGCTGCCAAACATCAGCAAGAGGAGAGTGCTGGGGGCAAAAAAACAAAGCGAGGAAAACATTAGGAATGGTAAATGTTAAACAAATCATTAAATATGGCAAGAAAACAACGGCGAAACAGCCTACTGTGCTGAGGCAGCATATGCTGATCAGATCTGGATTGGTTCATTAGGGGAGCAAGATCAAAAAACAACAACAACAGGGAACAGAAAAAAACGAGAGGGAGAGAGGGAATCGCAAAGAAAGACGGGAAGAGGAAAAAGGTCGAGGAAGTACCTTTGGTTTGTGATGCTCGCTGGCGGGGCCGCTGTCGTCTTTTACGTCCGTTTTCGGTTTCCCATCTGGGCTCATCATCCCGTCTCCTGACATTCCCATGACTCCTTCATCAAGAATAAGTAAACATTTACTAAAAAATATGTGATTGAATAAAAGTAATTAATAAGAGATATCTATTAAGAGGCGAAGCTGGTAGAGCCCTATTGTTTTTGTTCTCATTATTTTTTCTTTCTTCTTCTTCTTTTTCTCTGCTAAAACTGTTCATGCTGCAAAAACTTTAAGACCAAGATGCTTCAAAATTGGCAAGTGGGTCTGCAAATTCCACCCACTACTCAGGAGCATAAAATGAAACATGTTGACCTTAAGATGGCGCTGAAACAATCAAGTTAACATTTTTGCAATTATCTCAAAAGCAGCATGGCTTAGAGTCACAATTTCTGTAATCATTTTAATCTCTCACATCACCTGTATCTGGTCTTCTGCTCTGAAAATGTCAAATTATGCATTTTTCGCAATCTTCTTGGACCCTGATCTTTGCCGCTTGTGGCTTTACTTGAGAGTAAGCTTTGTTATTTGGACATAAAATAATAATAATAATAAATTTTGAACTCAACACAAAGTATTTTTTGAATAAAACAACTTTGTCCCAGTAGGTATGTTTTCACCACAGTAGCATTAAGAGGTATGGTTGGCAAGTCTTGGTATTATGGTTGATTCAGTGTTTCTTTGTGTGCTGTAAGCAACTGGATAATGTTTTGCCTAATGTCACGGATAAAGTCAGGTAATGTAAAATTGTTTAGCATATTTCTGCAGTTAAATTATTATGTTCTTTCTTCCTGTGTTCTCAAGGCCCCTCTAAAGCCTGTCTGGCCATCCATCTCAAAGGGAAGAATGTGAAATAAATATTTAAAAAGACTTCTGTTTAGGGAAGAAATAGATAGAGAACAAAATAAGGCTCAACTAAAAGTGCACCAGAGTGCTCTTTCACCCTTTCTGGCCATGCATCTTCAATATGGGAGAAATCATTCATGTTCTCACATACTGAAAGTGGTGATAGGACAAAAAGGTTACCATTAAAGCAATGTTGGCTGACAAGAAGACTTGTTTCTGTTTTTTTTAAGACATCTGTGTACCATTGTGAGGTTTTTAATTGAAGAAGAGTTAAGATCCTTATATACTACTTTTCATAGTGCAAGCTGCATATTTCTTATTAACAGAAAGAAGGGGTCCTTGGATACAAGGCTCCCCTCCTTATTTTTCCCTTGTGGCATGGTAGGAAAACTAATGGCTTTTTACCGTGCCCGGAGGCAAACCAGATGAGTTTGGAGGAACCTTGGTGCTCTAATTTGTTTGAAGTTTTCCAAATGTCACACATTCTGATATTTGGTTTTGAATAAAAGGTGCCTTTCATTTTGGGAGCCACAGTGCTCTCTGAGGTGGGTTTAGCAACAATGCAACGGGGTGAAGGGCTAAAAGAAAAAAAGGATGCACCACATTAATCTTTGCTCACTGGAGGGCAAGCTCTACAGGAAAAGTAAGAGCTCTGAGAAAGTAACCATCGTCTCAGACAACTCTCTTTCTTTCTTAGCCATTCACTATATTTTGCCCCCTAAAGTCCTCTCTCTGTGTCTCTGAATGGGAACAATCTTCAGTTGGTTTTGCTTTACATTCAACATAAACACACACAGCTTGAGTGGCTCAGCATACCTAACATTAAACTGGAGGGCTGTGATCTCTTATTCAGCAGGTTCTTCCCTATTTTATCAACATGAATTCTGTACATTTCAATGCAAGACAAGTCAGTGGAGAGGGGGTCAAAATTTTGTCATCAACCTTTGTATATCTGTTGATGGAGGGCTGTAGGAGGCTGGCAGCTTGTTTGAATGCGCTTGAGATAATTTACACAAGTTATCTCCCTTGTCAGACGTGTTTTCCAAAGTTTCAGGTGGTTTAAGAGCTGACATTTGTACTGCTAATGCTCTCATGCTTTGCTCTCCCTGTATTTCGTTCCAAAGTACCCTAAAACAATAAAAACCATTACAATAACTTCTGCTAGTTGGCATTTAACTAGTATACCTGAAGGCGGCATACTGTAGGCTGGACCCTGTGTGTTGCCCATGGCTGAACTGTTGTTTCCCGTTGGCTGGCTGTAGGGGACAGTAGTAGCCATGGTGCTCGCCTGGCTGATGCCGGGGCCTTGATAGCTGCCTTGCCTACCGCAGAAAGAGGAGAAGGTGTTAGCATAATTGGTAGAGATAAATCCAGTTTAGAGTCACGATGTAATGACAGGCTGTGGAGAGATAAGTAAGTAACAGAGAAAGCTGCAAAAGAACAGAACTCACACAACCGTACAAAGATGATATTTGGCACTGCCATACTCCTTTATTGTTGTAGTAAAAAGCAAGCATCTACAGCATATCTGGAAGTCACATAAAAAGCACAGTACACAGCATATCCCTGATCAAACAAACAGCTCTTCCAAAAGATTGAGGATAAGCATGCAATATCAGAAAATAAAAACTCTTCTATCCTCGCTTCTCTGCTCTTGTCTTCTACAAATCCCTTTCCTCCCTCTCTTCCTCCCTCTCCCTTTCCCACAAGTCATAATTTAACTAATTAAGGTGTGCTTTTGGAGAGGATCATGTTATTTGTTGCCATGGTGACAGCAGAAATCAATCCTGCTCAATCTCCCTACCCCCCTACCCCCACCCCCCCCAAGGCGGCTCATCACATGGTGTTGCAAGTGACATCAGAGGGGCTTATCTGCAACCTGCTGAATGCTAGCCATCCGTGTGTGTGTGTGTGTGTGTGTGTGTGTGTGTGTGTGTGTGTGTACGTGATTAAAGGCAGCCTCTATCACTGCATACCAGGCAGGCCAGAGCCAGTGACATGGGGCTGAAAGGGAACACTGTGTTTGGAACAATTTGGTCTATCTCCTGCTGACTCAAGATTATCTCCTGGACAACCGTATGAAAGAAGATTGGGTTAAAGGAGGAGGCAGACAGAGAGAAGGAAAGTGTGAGGTGAAGCAAGACAGAGGCCTGAAAGGAAAAATAGAGGAAAGCTGGAAGACAGAGAATGCAGAATGAAACCAAACTAGAAAAGAAGACAGGAAGGGGTAGACGACTGAGGAAGTCAAAGGGTAGTAAGGGTGAATTTAAAGGAAGAAAGCAGGTAGGAATTGTCAGCGAAGGAAGACAACGTTGGCCAACAACAGACCACAAGGAGGAGTGTTTGGCCCAAAATACAACACTGTTTTATGTGGACGAAAAGAAAAATGCTAACCGGATTTATGTCAGTCAATTCCCTCCTAACTGGCATCTTTCTCTCTTTCACACACTCACACAGACACATAGTGTAATAACTCACGTTGGAACCGATACACATAGCCTAAGAGGAGGGATCGGCTTGGTAAACCTCCCCATAATCTCATCTCACAGATGTAATTAGTCATAGAGCACGGCTGATGATACATATGTAATCCCTCTATGGGGGCCGAGGTGCACAGGGGAGCTCCATGGCAAAGAAACAAGCTCACACCAAATCCACGCTTATCTGGCCCCATTTCCCTATAAAGGGGGAAATATAGACTCCTTCGTTGCTGCCTACGTGTTCCCTAAAAAGCGTTGTGTGAGTCAAGATGCAGAAATAAATTTACCTTTTAAGCACTGCACCTTCTCTCTCAAGTAAAAATGTATTCTGCACGCATACGCTGCCACAAAAGAGAGCGCCGATAAGCTGGCAAGGAAAAATAAGTTTAGAGCTGCCAAATGCCTGCGAACCTCATTTATCCATACTGTAAAAACGCCCCTCACCCACCTTAAGCAATATAAGCAGAAGCTCTCATGTGTATGGTGAAATATCCAAATCAACAACAACAACAACAGTGGTTGGAGGTTTTCGGCTGTGGAGCTCTCCCATTATGACTAATTCATGTCATAAAAAAGCCCATTAGAAAGCACTTGATGGAGGCATTGCACAGCGTTTAATCACACTTAATATATGCATGTGCTGCTATCATGGGGTGGGGGTATTCATCTTGCTCTGGGGCACCTTTGTGCCTTGGAAAAAAAACTCCATCCTGTTGCGGTACAGAGAGAAAGATTGAGCGAGGGAAGAGAAAAGCGGAGGGATGGAGAGATGGAAATAGAGGGAGAAGAAGAAGGGAGGTGGAAGGAAAGAGAGGAGGGAGGTAAATTAAGGCAAGACAGAGCCTGAGTAGTATGTGTATGGGTCCCTGGTGGACCGATGGGGGGCGTATTCTCAGTTTGGGGCCCCAGAGCTGGAGGTAATCGCTGTTCCATGAGACTGAGCCGAGGGAACACACACTCAAACACACAAAGACAGACAGACACAGACACACAGACACACACACACACACACACACACTCTCAGTAAGAAACATGTTTCCTAACACCATCAGGCCATTGCACTTTCAGTTTGTTGTCTAGGAGTGGCCTTAGGAGAGAAAGAGAGAAACACTTCTGGGAAACTATACCTTCTCCCAGAGCTTTCTGGGTTTTTTAGGAAAGTTAGTGCTAAGAGTTTTGACACCACATTACAGTGAAGATGTATGAAAATCGAGCTTTGGTTAAGGCAGAAAAGCCCACATTTCACATAGAAATTGTGCAATAAAGACAGTTGAAATTTACCTGAGTCACTTCCAAGTGATAACTACTATTTTGTTGTTTTTCCTAAATGCTTTTCCCTTGCTGTCCTTCACTCTCCTTCTTGTTTTCCCCCTAATTCTACACACACACACACACACACACACACACACACACACACACACACACACACACACACACACACACACACACACACACACACACACACCTCTCTCCTTTTGCTATTCAGTCCACATGTGTGAAGGGCATCGGAGAAGGCCACTTTCACACTATGGGCGTGAGTGTGTGTGTGTTAATGTGTGTTTGAGTGTGTCCTTGTGTTCATGCACGGGGTGGGCGCTGTTGCCAAGGGGATGCCATGGTTACGAGGTGCCAGCCAACCAGCTGACAGCGTCTCTCTAGAAGTGGCAGCGCCTTTGTCCTTCATTCGTGGTGACAGGCCACGTTGATGCCTCCCAGTGCTGCTAACTGGATGAGACAGCAGAAGCGCTGGGACTGCAGGAGTGTGTGATGGCTGAGCGTTCCTCCCTATCGATCCCTCTGCTTTGTGTGTGTGTAAGAGTGTGTAGAAGAAAGTGAGAGAAAAAGAGCCAGAGAGAGGCTGCTGGATGGAAGGATGGAGTGGATCGGCTGGAGGCCATGAATTATATATGGACCCAATCTGTTCTCAGGGCAGCTTGGGCTCATAGCTCTTCAAAACTCCTGACTCAACTCACGACACACACATGCACACACACACACACACACACACACGCACACACAGAGGAGGCCAGAATAAACCCCCCACAAAAAATAAAAGGACAGCTTTTAACATATTAAATCCAGAGAAAAGCTACTCTTCCCTTCTCCCTCCCCTCCTTCCTAAACTTCAAACAGCTCAGGATGGATGGAGGAGAAGCCATTTATTTTGCCCATCTAATGAAAGCAGAGCGCTCCGCGGCACTGCCAAGACTGCAAGCGACGAAGTGCCACAGGCAGCATCCTCCGTTCTTGACATTCAAGCGCAGCTCTTATTTATTTAGCAAATTTACTTACTAAGGAGGTCAGAAATGAATTATTTGGCGAGGATTTGCCTGGGAGCACTCTCCTCTCCTCTCTTCTTCCCTCTTCCAACATTTTTCTCCCTTTGATTTACGGCTCTTTTTTTCGGAGCTTTGCTCTTCTTCTACTAAGTGCTTATTTTTTCGACAGAGCCCGTTCCTATAGCTCCAGGAACTTTTTGTAGAGTGTCGCCGGCAGCGCTGGAAAGTCATTTGAAAAGCCAATTCTGTCCTCAGAAGCTGCTGCCAAGAAAAGCTTATACCTTTTAATACTTTCTGTTCTCTTCTCTTTTCCAAAAAATCCCCAACATCAATCCACAGACCCTAAAAAATGTTCTTTACCGCACCTTTCTTCCAAACAAACTTGTACCTCCTCCACACTGACAGGCTTGACATCGTCCGTGTTATTTGAACATAACATGTCAGACTTTTTACACTGTAATTCATCATACTGACAACTGGCAGCCTAGTATGCCCAAAAAGTCAACTTCTCATGAAAGTGATGCTATTTTCCAGAAAAATCTTTTCAAGATTGACCACCATCTCTTTTTGAAATTGGATGAACAGTGGATGAACAAGTGACACTGACATTGTACTTGGAGAGCAAACTACAATTTTTAGATTACAGTAATTATGATTAGCAAGACTTTGTGTGACTTCGTAATTAAAATAAAAGTCATATTTCTTTTTGACACATTTAACTTTTAGTAGAGCAACAGGATTCTTTTTTATGTTCCCAAAACTCTCTTGGGCTACACTGCTTCCCCTCAACCACCAATCAAACTGAATAACCGATAAAAACAGGACATTTGTTTCTGATTCCATCGGTTGGTGGAGTAAAAAACTCTGAGAGGGCTTGAGGGGAAAAAAACACTCACGCCACACTTTATGAAGATTTAATCAGGACCCTCGCCTGCAGCCATGGGATACCAGAAGTGGCCCTCCTCTTTTCATTTGACATTCTTTTCACTCGGCGTAATGAAGCTGGAGTGTGTCTACTAGTGTGTGAGGGTGTGTGTGAGTCAGGCGAGGATGGAGATGGGGGGATGAGAGGTAGAAATGTAGAGGGATTACTGGTGGGGATGTTGGGAAGGAACGTGTGCAAGAAAATGAGAAGAAGAAGAAGAAGAAGAAGAAGAAGAAGAAGAAGAGCCAGTGAAATCACTGCTAACTAGCCCCTGATTTGGAAGGTCGGGAGTGGTTGGCTGTGGCAGTTCGCTCGGGGTTGATGCATCAAAGAGTGAAACTAGACATGTGCTATGACTAACAACTTGTTTCTCAGACAGAGAGGAACTAGGTCTGAATGTTTCAGAATGTTGCACTGAGATCTGGAGAGCAAGCGGGGTACTGGAGCCTTTAACTGCAGGTTTTCGGAGGCCAATTTTCTCCTGATCTCCCTCAGATGTTCTAAAGTGGGATCTGAGGAAGAAAAACATAACAAGGCTGTGCTGGAGACAGCAGAGAACAAAAAGCAAATTGGGAGGAAGAAAGACTGAGGGAGATAAAACAGTCTGGGTAGGATAACAGAGTTGTGCAGAGAGGGAGAGGGCGATACAGTTGGGAGAGTTGGTAAAAACAGTGAAACAGGTGGGAGGAGACAGAACAGAAGCAGACGGGAATGGATGAAAGAGCTAGAAAGAGTGATAGCAGACAAGAACAACTCTAAGGGTGAAACAGGCATCATAGAAACTGGAGTATTCTGCAAAAATGTCCATCGTAGCAAAGCATTTAGGCTCTTTTTTTCATTTTAAATGAGCAAAAAAAAACTTTCTGCCAGGAGACTAATTCATATTTTCAGTAAATAAAACAAACTGTGAAAAAAGAAGGCAGAAATATGACAACACTGATCTGCTTTGAAAACAATTTTTTTTATACCAGCTAGTTTATACAAGTCTTTTATTGTTCTGAACACCCAGTGTCTGTTCAGTTTTTCCTCCAGTGCAGTGGAAGTGATGCTTCATTTTGAATAAACACAGCAGCAATTTGGAAGTTAGCATGCGCAGCAACAGCCATCTAACAGAGAACGATAAAACAGATTTCCAAAGAAAATCAAAAGGAGGAGCCCTCATTGTACTGGACTTTTTGCTTCAAATGTTGTCTTTTCAATGCAGTAAAAACAAAACAGTAATAACTGCTTAACGCCAAATATGGAGATAAAACACCAGGCAAAGACAAGGAAACCAAGGATGCTTTCACAGACGACAGGGAATCAAACTGGATAACAGTCAAGATGGAGAAACAGGTGAAACACACTTTCTAGGCAGATATGTAAACAAACAGAGTAGGAGAGAGTGTCTTCTCCTCCAGCAGCACCACAGCGAGCGACACCTCTCTGGTGTCTTGGTGAATGTGAGGCAAGACTGACAGGCAGTCTGATTGGTGCCAGCAGCGGGGATCATGTCATGCCACTTCTTATTGACAGCCCAGCCATCTCTTAATGGCTCGGCCAGCATTTGCATTGCTGTTTGTGGGTGTGTGTGTGTGTGTGAGAAGCAATGGAGGCCCCCTGATGCACGTAATTAATCACACATACTGTCAACCAAAATGCCACGACAGTGCACACAACAATCTAAAACGCAGTGAGGGCGTCTGTGTGTGTCCATGCATCACACTGTATGTGCTCACTTGTTGTTGCCATTACAGTGACTAAGACATGCCGATGATGGTAATCATGACTACAGTGACGATGATGAAGGTGATGATGGCAATTACAGCGATAACAATGTTGACTCTTGTTTCGCTCTCAGAGGGAGCTTGTAAGGAATGTCATCATGATCCCTTTCAGTTCTGTTTAGCTTGGAAAATGTCCATTTAGTTTAGTCACACACAAACATATTCACACATAGACATTATATATTTAAAGGGAGACACCCACACACACACACACACAAACACACAGGTGTCATGAGGGTGGCGGACCTACCTATAGTGCTGTGAATGTGAGGGGGGCAGGATGGGTGGATGTTGAGGTCTGGGTGGAGGTGAAGGTGGTGGACAGGTAGAGGAGAGCGTGGGCCAGTGGGTGGAGGTGGATTGGGATGGATGCATCTGGACTGGGGAGCTCGCATATGGAGGCCGCCTGCGGATTGGCGTCAACAGAATCCCGACAAAAAGACAGATTTCATCTGAAATATCATCATTGGCTCACAGTCTTCAGTCTGACTCATGTATCATCAGAAATGGGAATGAACATTGACAAATATTAATCCGCCACTTCAGCCTGCAGAATGCTGGCGAGACTGCTCCCATGATACATTGTTAGGCAAAACCCGTACCGATTGGAGAAATCTACCCTTCCTCTCAGAAGACGGCCATGTTTTGACTAGTTCCCCGGGCAGGGTTCAGAAAAAGTTTACTGCCCACACAATCCCGCAGTCCTGGTCTCCAACGCAACAAACACTCATATATTCAAAACTCCAACCCTGATGGAAAAATAATATCCCTTAACTCATATACTGTTATAGCATTAAAGTGCTTTGTATTTGTGTTAAGGTGCTTGGTGTCACGTCTTTCTCTCTCTGGTGTTTTCACAGTTAAACCTGTGGTTTGCGTTTTCTTCCTTTATATTTTGACAGTGCCGTATTCTTCTCACAAGCCAATACCTCTCTTTCTACAACAAATGGCACTTGGTGTTTGGTGCCAGCTATCAAAATGTCAGGCACTTTATGAGATGTGTGAAAATAGGGATAGTTCCGCAAATGGCTCATTGAAGTGTGGAACCCCTGAGAACGAACTCTTGCCTGCACATCTTAAAATACAAACTCTCTGTGGTGCTTTTCAGCACACCTCCCCGCAGACGACACCTGCAGAGAGAGTGATGTAAGACAGAGATGCTTGCTGGCCTCCAACTTTAGCATACCACTATTACCTGGTGATGTAAGAAATAGTCTCAGTCCCACAAAAGAGTTTGGACCATTCCTGTTAAAGTGGTGCCGCAATACATTTTTTTGCCATTCTACTTTCTTTTGTTGACAAGACTATTAGGACCATTACAGCATAGGTGAAGCTGCAATGAATTAATATCCTCATATACACACACATGCATACATATACTATATATATACAAACATTGGTGAGGAGCCAAAGAAAGCAATACAGAAAAATGTGTTATTCTCAAAAAGTACAAGACTTTCAAAGAAATAAGAGCTTCTGAGTCTGTCCTGTGCTCTTACCTGTTGTGTGTTGAGTTAGCAGATCCCGACATGGCAGTTGCTGCTGTCTCCTGGGCCTTGCGGTTAGAGCTACCCAGAGAAGGAGGGCCCATCCCGGGCCCAGCTGGCTGTGGCATGCTGGGGGAGCTGGGAGCCATGGGCGGGTACACTCTGTTCTGGCTGCCTGGGCCGTGGCTGCGTCCTACAGGTATGGGCTGGCCAGGCCCCTGCCCATGCATGGGGCTGCTAGAGTTCATTCCCAGACTGTTGGTCATGCCAGGCCCGGGCCGCTATAGCTGGTACTGGCAGTCCCACTGTAGTTGGAGGAGCGAGGGTAATTACCTGGAAGAAGATGGCACATATGAATGAGCTTCCAATCATTGAAATTTTAAGTATTGCACAGATAATGTCACTCAAGAGGTAAACCATGGATTGTTGTCACTTGCGACATTTAAGTTCCCACTTGAATTTGATAGATTGCTTACAAGAATGACACAAAATGACTGCTGTGAAATACTGCAGTCACAGATGGGTGCTCTGAATCACTTCATTTGAGAGAAATGGCTTGTTTATCAAGTGCTTGTCGGCCCTTATACCTACAACAGTAACCCATACAACTATTTCATCCATCAAGAATGTAATCCTGCGGCAGATGAGGAATGAGATATGTAAAGTGCAAAAGTAAATTCTGATTCATGTAACCTCTATAACCTCCAGTGGAGGCTGAAAAAACTATATGGTATGTGGTGTGGTGACACGTTTCACAGCTGTAGGTTGCTGCATGGCCCTGGGAACAATTGCCAAGCTTAAGGCTGACTTTGTGAAACACTTGAGAGGAGCTCTAATCTGCAGTAAATGCTTTGTTGCTGCCCTGGAGTGCCACACGGTCACGATGCCAGAAGCTTTCCTAAGGCACACTTAAACCCCTTCATTTTGGCTCTAAAAGCCCAGCTCGACTCCAACACCAGCTGCAATAAGAGCGGAAGGAGAATTGCCATGCTGTCAAAGAAACATTTACATACATTTAGGCACACCAAAATGCACCTACTGTACATGTAAGTGCAATACACCCCTCCACACACAGAGAACAGACATTGTATTCCCTCTGCAGGCACTGGGCCTTTTCCACTGTGATATTCCCTCCCTGGGACAAATCCCCTGCTAAATAGAAATGGAAAATGTGGCATCCTCCATTGTGAAGGGGGCTATTTATTTTGATTTGATTAAGGGTGCTTTAGTTGGGCCTCACTGCTTAATCCTTTGAGAATATGTCTGGAAAAGGGGATCAAGTCCCTCTAAAACCTGAAGGCTTTTCTGCATGCTCAAACGAGGCAAAGTTGAATGACAATATTCCACACGGGAGAAAAAAACATCTCCGAAAATGGAAATGGCTTCTCAGTGTCCTCAAGCTGCTTCAGTGAAGACACTTTCCACATGACATAAGCCTGTGAGTCCAACAGAGGCAGAGAACTGGAGGAAGCAGCAGAGGGTGGGGGCGGAAAGAGAGGAAGACATTCATACAGAAAGGTGGGGGGGAAAATCCTGTCCTCCCCCCACAACCCCCGAGATAGGATTTATATTGAATCAAAATAAAAGTCTTTCCCATAAAAGTCAGCAGCTCTGGTTGCATTTGTCCAGAAACTGTGATGAAATCTACTGTGGGAGATGGGAAAAGAAGAAGCGGATTATTTCTGGGCAGGCTTTGGTGAATCGGTGAGCTGAGTACGGCTGACACCTGTCAAGGGTTTTGGGGCTATAATAGGGAAGCGTTCAGGAAGAAAGAATGTCTGCTAACGAACACAGGAGGATACGTATGTTGCACAGCACATGTGTGTATGTGTGTGTCCATCTGCTTGTCTGTGTGAATGCATATATAATACTTCTGAGACCTTGCAACCAGTGAAAGACACATTTCCATGTTTCTTCCACTCATAAGCGACTGCCTACAACGCTGTGGAAAATCCTGGGAATGGTGCCCTGCAGCTTCCCTCCTCTCGGAAGGAATGGATGGTTTGCTGCAGATGACAAGGCCGTAGTCAGCGACCTCTCTCAGACATCTTTGGACAGCTGTTGAGCCCCCATGTCATGGCTGCCTGCCATACATTCTCAATAGCCTGGGCGGACACTTTGTGGTTTTTGGCCCTTGTGACAGACTGAGGATCCAGCACACCTCCCGGGGAGTTGTTGATATCACACAGTCCCATTTGGACAATCTGCATTTTTCCCCCTATTTTGGCAGACGGGCAAAAAGTTCCAAAAGTGGGAGTGAGTGTCGGGAAATTTCCATGAGACTGTATTCAACTGTGGGGGCTAAGCCAAATCTAACTGAAGAGGTTTGTGTTGAAAAATGTGTCATTAAGTCGACACGCTGCATCCAGAGAACTTATCAGTCTTGATGTACTACCATTCAAAATGTTCTGGTTGTGGGCTATGTTTGCCTCAGCTGACAAAGGAAAGACAGAGTAGCTGTGGGACTGGGTTAATGCTAAGCTTTCCTATGAGAGTCTTCCTCCGTCCTGACAAGAATGATTCACCTCCTAAAGGATTGGTGCTGCGCCAGAGCGCTTCTTCAAGGACAGATAGCGTACTAACCCACTTTTTAAAATGACTGAGAGCTCAACCTTGAAATTCTAGGTGTTTTCTTGAGTCATTCATGCCTTCTAAAGCTTTGGAATACCACTCCGACTGCATTAGATAGGGAAGTTGGATCCTTCGTGGAGGCAAACGACAAAATTCAAATAACTATAGAACATACTGTATGCATCATGTTTAAATTACAATTGCAACAAATATAACATAAATTAGCAGAATCTTTAGTATTGTTGTTTGCAAATGTAGTCTAATTTATCAAGAAAAAAAACAAAAACAACCCCAATACTTCTCCATGTGGTGTTATATTTAATGGAAGTCATGGCATTGGCAACTTAGCCACATTATGTCATCAAAAATGACTTATGTATGGTATAGATATAGTTAGAAATCATCACAGGGCAAGTCAGAGTAGTTAAGCTCAATTTCTTAAAGGTCCCATATTATACTTATTTTCAGGTTAATACTTTCATCTCCACTAGTAAATGTTTACATGCTTTAATGTTCAAAAAACGCATTACTCTTCTCATAATGTTCATTGCTTCAGCACCTCTTTTCACTGTCTGAAAACTTCGTTTTAGCTCCTGTCTCTTTAAGGCCCCCCTCCCTAAAAGCATACTTTCTTCTGATTGGCCAACTTCCCGGAAGCCTCCCGAGGAGCAGCAACTAGCTGGCATAGCGCTTACACGATATGTGGACATTGCTATGGCTAAGCAAGACTAGGCCTCACTGATTACAGTACGTAATGTTTGCACACACGTTTACTGAAAGACTGAGCAAGAGAAAAAGAGAGAGGATGTTTTTCCTTTAGACACACCGGGGATACGAAAAAGCGCATTTTGCATAATATGATAATAACTTTGATCTTTCACTTAACGTCTGTTAAGGAAGGGAATACTATTTTGCGTGCATATTCTTTCTTCCTAACAGTGGCTTTATTGTGAGCAGTTGTTGGCTTTTTTGTGCAAACTCTGACTTTAAAAAACACAATCTAAGTGCTCAGAAATTCCACTTCCTGTTGCTTGAACAGGCCAGTAAAACAAATTTGAAATATGTGTTAGCTTCTGTTCTGCACATGTTAATATCAGCATATAGTATATGTACAGAAGTGTGTCACCTACTTCACCTGCTTTGTATGCTACTCATACTTCTCTAGACCAATCAACTAGGGACAAAAGGAAAACAGGACAAGGAGAATGTAATTTCTTATTTGTCCCTTCTCATGTCCTTGTGGCTGGGTCTTGGTTTCCTGCTTGCTTCTTGGGCACTTGGTGCCTTTGGGGAGCCTTGGTGGTATTTATAGCACGATGGAGGGGAGGAAAAGCAGAAGGAGAGCTCATGGTGCTTCGTTCACAATTACATGGAAATTCCCGGCACCGTCACGCATTCGGCGGACGCTATATCCTGCGCTGGGTTTAATCCCTGCAGTCCCGCGGGAGAGCTGGAGTGTGACCGAACAGATTAACGTCTACTGCTTCCTCAGCAGACTGGACCGTCCAATGCTAACAGCCGAGGCAGTCATTCTCCCGGCTACGTGGAGTATGGTATGATGGTGCACCAATGCACCCTCCGGATCTGTGCACTCCATCTATAAGGAGTGGAACACAGATTACATGGCTGCATGCCTGAGCTGCCAAGGACAAGAGCAGGGCAGGCTGTCTATGTCCACATATGGCTGAACACAAATAAAAGAAATGAATAACAGCATTTTCCTCTTTTACCTTTTTTGTGTTTATGTGGTAGTGGTTGAGGGGAGACAGTTTCTGTTGGGGGTGGTAGGCAAAAAAGACAAGATACCCTGGTACTCAGGATCTTACTCAGGAGTTACATTTCCTAAATATCATATGGTGCTATAAAATACAAACTCCTCTATTTTTCCATTCTTGTGCAACTTAATGTGTCTTACAGTAGTAGAAGTATAACAATCATTTAATGAAAATCAATTTTTCACCGTTTCTGATGCAGTTTCATCTGTTTTTTAACAGTTAAAATACCTTAAAATTAGGCTGATCTGTCACAACTATCAATGCAGTCCATTTACATACAAAAATTTATTTGATTTCTTCACTTGCTTCATAATATTTTATGACTCAGTATTAGGTTGTATACATGTATGACTCGCTGGGATGGATAGTTTTTTTGCATCGTCTTCTCTTGCCAGAGGCCCCCACATCCTTTCCCAGCCACCTCAGCACCTTCTCCGGCAGGGTGTCTAAGCCTAAGCAAGGCTGGGGTGCGCCTTGGGGCTTCCAAGCTCCACACACTGTCAGTTTCCTCCGAAAAACTCAACTCCCTCCCCCAGGCTCTGGCTTTTTTGGCTGAATTACACCGTGGCTCCAGCAAGGCACCAAGGCTTAAAAGTGCTGTCTGAAGCATGGTCATTACCAGCGGAGTGCTTAACCCCTGGGGGGTGGGGGGGTGGGGGTGGGGGGTGGGGGTGGGGGGGGCTATGCGATGGGTGGGAGAGAGAGCAGAGCTGAGACAGACTCCAAATCCCTTTCCTGTAATGGCCTGAGATCCTCCTCCCCCGTCTGTCTGTGTGTCCACTGTTCTCAACATGCTGGCTCTGTATCATGTCCAAATGCATGTCTTGAAAACAGCTGTTCGAGTCATTTGAGTCCTGAGGAGAGCCTGATATCAACACACAGTGTGACATCAGTTTAACTTTCGATAAAGAGAGCTTTTAAAGGACAGCCATAAACATTTAGCAGATTAAATATTTTTTAGAAATCCTGGGCAGTCCACTCACTGTAAGAGCTGTTATTTAGATGGTGAGAACAGCAAAGGGGGGAAAAACTTTGGCAGGGTTAGACTGCACATCCATCTGGACGAAAACCTTTGGTTACAGTCTAGGAAGCATCTAATCAAAGGTCTCTGGAAATAACTACTAAATATTTTAGTATTGTTTGTAGAAGGGCCATATCCTGCTGCAGTCTCATGTATCACCATAACTGTATGTTGGATGGAGCTTATATAGCTGGTTACACAAGCAGTAATTTGCCCCTGATAAAACAGCAGTGCTGCAGCCTTTTAAGTTACACAACACCAGAAAACTTTTATGTTCTTTGGTGAGCTACAAACAGTTAGTGTCAGTGTGTGTGGCAAGCATGATTGCAGAAAAACCCAATTTAAAGCCCCAAGCATTAGGTTCTCCCAGTATAGGCAGACAGGCCAAGAAAAACAGCAGAGCAGAGTTCAGAAACTTGGAGTGCATTTCTGTGTTCGCTAATAGATGGCTAATTTGTTAGTGCACTACGGAGAGGGATGGGAAGCAGATGGAGCTGTCATTAAGAACAATGACAAGCAGCTGTCTGCCCTGTTCACCCTACACAGGCCTCTGACAGGACCCACTAAGAACTGGTCCATAAGAATAGTTTCCAATACTGAAGATATTGGGTGTAATGTTTTCGTATTTCTGACTGATAAGTGCCTCTTTGCATATTAGAACAATTTGTATGAAGACGACTAGTCCTTAAAAGGATGGAAATATGAGGAAAACCACCCAGCCACCAGTTTAAAGGGCCGTTTTACTATGTTTTTAACAGGGTATGGCTGTGTTCAGACTGTGGATAGCACAATATCACAAAACAAGTCTTCTCATTATTTCCAGTGCACATACCGGTGCAGAAGGCTTCTGCAAGAAATGCTGGGTGGTCCAACAAAAAGGTTTAACCTGGTTCAACTTTTGTCACAATGCAATGCAACCTCATCCAGCAAAGCACTGTCCTGGTCGGTCACATAGTTTACCCACACTGACGGGGTTGACAAAAGATTAGAAACATACATCTCAGTATAACTCTAAACAATATCCTGAAAGAGCACTAATGCAGGACATACACAGCATACACAGGTCAGTTGCAATGAATGAAAGTATACATATATATATGAACACACACACACACACACACACACACACACACACACACACACACACACACACACACACACACACACACACACACACACACACACACACACACACACACACACATACACATACTGTATATATATATATGCTGAATATGACAGGGTGCCTGAGCTGTTCTTTCTGTTTCTGTCATCTCTCCTGTCATCAGAGTGAGATTTCACGCTCATCTGCCTCCAGCTTCTTCCAGGCTAGTCCGCCTCGCTGTCGCTCTCTGCTTACTTTATTTCTCTTTTTCCCTCTGCTTACTGGGCTGTCAGCCCAGCCAAAGTCACATTAAGAGATAAGAGTGGGTGGAGAAGGGAGACCAAATACCAAATGCATTAGGGCTATTAATCAACATTAACAAATGGGAGGGAGAGGCCGCAATTTTGGGAAAACACGCACGGATGGGCACATTTATCAAGGTGACACATTAAAACACACATTTACCAAAAAATACCATAATGTTTCGTCTGGTGTGTCGCCAAAGGCAGAAAATGAAGTACAACAGCAGATGTCAACATTTGTTGGATGGCTGGGAGTTGTACGTTGGAGAAAACAAGCGAGCGGCGAATGCTTAATTATAGAGAGCGATCCAAACTTATTTCCAAAATTTCCTGGAATCTGTGATTTGTTTTTTTTTCCAAGTTATTTTTTTCTAGTAGGATATATTCTGTTAGTTATATACATTAAAATGTGAAGCAATATACATTTAAACTCTTGAGGTACTTTTGTTTTTATACGTTTAACAGTTGTGAATCTGTGAAATACATTTTTTTTGGAGAATACATTTATTTTCTGGTTTTCCCTCTGATGTCCTCCAGCTGCTCTGCCTCAACTTTCAGGGATTTACAGAGTTTCTTGAAGGACAGATAGCTATACTTTTTGTTAGCAGTTACTTTAGCGGCTAACTACTGCTAACTGTAGCTGAAATTTTGTCCAGAGTAGCATTATCCGCATTGACTGTACGTTACCCTCTTTGTGTGAGATAAAAACACGATTCTGTGCAGTCGTCTTGTTGTAGCTACAGGACAGACAATAAACATGAATGACTGGTGAATTTCAAGTTGTCAGACCCAATAAATATTTTCTTAGAGGAAGAGACTGTGTGCTTTACAGACATGGCAGTCCCAATCAGAAGTATGGTGGTTTTTGGTACTGGATTTAGCTTTAGGTGAAGTCCTATCCTTATTTGGATACAATACCCTACTGCAAATGTTACATTGGGTTTTTGGTATCTAACATGTATTTGAAGGGAATTTAACACATATCCACAATTACACCATCTTTGAGAATGGCTAAAATTAAAACATAGAGCCTGATGACAGGGGTTGGACATCATCATTCAGTGGATAAACCCCATGACGTGTCAGTCTGCCTTGTCAGTCTGAAGCTACCTCATAATCTTATCATGAGGAGGGCCAAGAGGTCCGTCCAGGGTTGAAGTGTCTCATGAATATTCTGAGAGCCACACCCTCAGAAAGCGCAGTTTTTATTGCCCGCAGCGGGACCCACTACACAGGATGAAAAAAGACTGTATTGGTGTGTACGTGTGGATATGGGAGTTGTGGAAAGAGATAGGCAGAGTTAAACACACAACAGAGGATGGATATGTCTTTTAAAACGAGTCTTTTTGTATTCCTCATTAGCAAACACTCTTGAAACCAGTGACACTGATGTCAAGGCCCAGTGTGACTGTGAAATGGGGTCAGTCATCAAAACTCCTTTATAACCCTTCTGAATGAATGATACACACAGTATTCATCACTTCAATAAGACTAGTCAGAAAGCAGAAGCTGTTCAACAAATCTGATGTCAGGTAAAAGTCAACACAGGGCCTGTTAGTGGTTTTCATAATTAGTAATTCATCGTAAAGTTTGAAAGGAGCCATAGCTTGTGGGAAATCACATTCTCTCACTTTTGGTTTTCAATAGTCTTTCTTAAACCGTGGCCTAAAAATGACATCCTGTGTTTCTGACAAAGAGTGACAGGAGCTGTTATATGTTGTTTCAATGAGCCTGGCTCCAAGGACTCAATTACTTATTAAAGGCACAAGATAATGACACTCCTGCATAAAGGAATACAGTGACATTTGAGGTGGACAGACTTTTTGATCAAGTTACAAACCTAGACTGCTAGACCAGCCTTTGTGTCTTCAGTAGATTGGTCGCTCAGGTGCTCTAAAAATCCAAAAATGAATGTATAACTTAAAATAAAGAATCTCATATGCTATTACTATTATTGAAAGTGCTCTATGATAAAGTGTTAAAGTCTGGTCACAGCTGCATGTAAAAGGGTACAATTTTACAGTAAAATAAATGAATTTGAATGGGATCGCTAAGAGAAGTGAATTTGTCTTGACAGTGCCGACCTTAAAGGGAACAGACAGCCACAAAATGGAGGAAGATATTGTAGCTTAGCTGTGGTGAACCATCCAGTTTTATTCAACCCTCCTGTGTCGCAGTATAAACGTCTCCATAAAAGGGGATTGGTTTGCAGACAGTTGTGAGACAGGAGTCGATAGTACAGTTAGCAAGCTCATTAGCTCAGAGACCAACAAAAATACAGAGAGAGAGCAAATGGCACATAGAGAAAACAGCAAGAAGGAACTGACTAGTGCTAGCATGTTCCTGGCTTGCTACCATGTTAGCGGTTAGCTCACTACAGTAGTTTACTATCTAGTCCTGTAAGAAGTCACTTCATCACCAAGCCCCGAAGAATTTTGGTGTGACACTTTCTGTTGGGCCTTTAAAATGAGGTTCAGTTCAAAGTTAATTAATGGGCCAATCTTCCAGAAACTTCTATTCCTTAAAGTGTTATTGCACCAATGAAAACAAGTTTTAAAGTGTGTTTAAGTAATGTTTGTTATAATTCTCATTTAGGCTCTAACCTTGGTGTCCATACTGTGATCCTTGAGGTCCATAAGGGCCTGTGGGGCCGCTCTGGGAGTATGGACCCATCCCAGGATACAATGGACCCCCAGGGGAAGGGTGGGGGGACATAGGAGGTCCGGACTGAGGAGAAGCAAACTGGGAGCTAGCCTGGTTCCTCTGCATGTTGGACATGAACCCTGAAATACACAAATAGACATTAAAGCAATGACAACACTTTACTTATAAATCCCTAAAACCCACAGAGTTCTCCAGTAGTGAATGTACCTGCTCAGTGATATCAAATGTTGAGTGAGGGATTGAGCAGTTCATTCTCTAGCTCAACAAATTGGGATCTCCATTCAGCTTTCCTCGTGTAAAGAGACCTTTCCTTTTGACGAAAGCCCTAATCTTTTACCTTGGCATTGGCTCTTGTTACTCGTAGATACACATCATTGAGTAACGGTTATTAAACTAAACATGCACAAAAAAGGATAAGCTGGCATGTAAAAGGAACCCTGAGCACAAATCAACACACACATGCACACACCACAGAACTTTTAGTGAACTTTATCAGTGGTGAAAGCACAGGTCTATCTGGCCTTAAAGATGCATGTATACCTCTAAAAGCCTACGTGTCTGCGCGTCTGTGTGTGTATTTGTGAAAGAAAAAATGATGCCACAGAATAAGCCGATGATTTGACCATGGCTACTATGTTATTTTAAGCCGTCTTGTCAATAGAAGTGTCAAAGCCTCTCAGGCCCAAACTCGCCTCCACCATTCAAAGTGACATTTGGAGCGATCCTCGCCTGGGCTTCTCTCTTTCAAGCTGCCCCATTCGTTTTTAAAACCCACAGAAAGGTCTCCCAATCCACCACGAATGGGGAAAGGTCGCTGGATGGCCATTGAGGGAAAAAGAGAGGATGAGTGGGAGTGTGCATTTGTGTGTGTTAGGGGGGATTCAGTATTACAGATTAGGTGTGAATGGTTTGGGTCTGCTCGACTGTAAACTTTGATAGCTATCCGCTTTGTTGAATGAGCATGCACAGACCGACTCTTCAGTGAGTTTGGGGTTATGGGAAACGACGGAGTTGGAAAGTGCAAGTTGACATTTGTATAATTCCTTGTTTGAGACTAAGAGGAAATGTGAGGAGAGAGGAGGGAGATAAAAGTTTAAAAATGCTATATGTCTTTTATGCTTGTGTGCACATACATGCATGCTCATATTTGTGTGAGGAGATAACGGTGAAAGGGAGCAATGAATGCTCCATGTGTTGATTCTCCAAATCCACGATTCAATTGGATTTAAATGTTTTTTCAGCACTGACGGCTATGCCACTGTTAGACTATCGAGTGTTAACTTGTAAAGATCAACAGATCATTGGTTTTATGCCCTGACAACTTATATTTATGTTCTTTAATATGATGATGGTATCAAGTGTGATTCAACTGCCATACTTGCACCACACTATGGCCATATGGTCACATTTAAATAATTTATTTAAAATGTAATAACAGTGACTTATTTCACCAGTCAAAGGGAAAGAAACTGTTAAACCCAAAAACAAAAAGAGGAGACACTAGATGGCAGAAGGGTACTTTACAACAACAGCTTGAGTTTCCTCACCTGCAAAAGCCACCAGGGTTAGAATTTCAAATCGGTGAGATGGCATATGGTACCCACGTGTAGTACAACCTACAAACTTAAGTTTTTCTGTCAACAACTTATTTGTAACTCACAGGGAAGGCATAATGTTGCCACACTGGTGACTTCAGGGAAGCATGAGGATTTCTGTTGTTTGTTTCTGTGCTGTTGTTCCTGTCATCTCCGGCAGTGTAAGCTACGCTGTTTGTCTTTGATTTCGAAGGTCGAAATAGACAGCTCATTTCAATCGATTTTTAATGTAGAATTGAAATTGTGACACCCTTAATAGCTAAACACAACTTGCTATGCAGCAGGTTTGAAATTCCCCACAGCTCCACTGAAAGGAGAAGTAATACTGAGATGCTCTTGATATTTGTACTGATTTTGTTTTATTTTTTAGAAAGTTTAGGTTGTTGGATGTAGTGAAATATAAGTAGCAAGTAGGTTATTTTGATCATTTTTGACTTCTAAATGCAAGAAGTGCTAATTGTTATACCTCAAGACAGGGACTACTAGCATTAAAGATGTTGATGATGTAAATGATAGAAGTTTTCTTCCTGTCCTTTAATTCTCTATCAGAAACTAATAACCTTTAGGAGGAGAAAGACCTCGAACACATACCGACCCCCACCCAGGCACCCCGACAAGGGAGAGTGACTACCTAGCGGGGTTAGGTATTCATTCTTGCCCACCTCAGTGCACAACTGCATTGTGTAAATCCTTGAGCAAACCTGACAACCTAGCAGATAGGCAGGAGGTAGAGTAGTAGTCTTAGTAACTTGAGTTACATGGCAGGACTTGTGAACAATTAAAGAGCACCAAACCAATAAGAACGTGACTTCATTTGGCTGCGGCCTAAGCTCCTAAGGAGTTCCCAGACTGTGTTAGATATTTGAGTTCATCACAACTGCTTTACAGTATGTGTGTGTGTGTGTGGGAAAGAGATGGAGGCCAAGACAGAGAGAGGCAGTGAAAAAGAAAGTGTGTGTGGGAGGGAAAGACAGAGCAATGGAGGGAAAGAGCGATTGGGGCCTGAAAGTGCTTAGGCTGCGAGTGCTAGGTTTAAGGAGCGAGGACATTATTGTAATGTTTTGCTTCCATTAGGGTAAGGGGATTCTGGAGAGGAGGAGAAAAAAATTACAGTGTGTAATATCGCACTTTAAATTGCCTGGAAAATGGATGGGGAGAGGAACATTGTGCAGACAGTGCTAAAAGCAAATAACACATTCAAGGATTTCTCTCTCTCTCTGTGCTTCGTTCCCTCTCCCTCTCCGCACACACATAATCACACACACACACACACACACACACATAAACCTTCTTCTCTTTCTGGCAAAGCGAGTGAAGCTCTCAGCCGGACAACAACAACAGGCATCCAGCAAAGCACGTGACAGGCGGTGGGGGGAAAAAAGGGACATTCAGCGGATTTATGGAAATGAAGAGTGGAGAGAGGCTCTTAGGAAGGCAGGCACTTGAGCAAAGTGGGGTGTGTGTGTGTATGTGTGTGCAGGTGTGTGTGTGTGTGTGTGTGTGTGTGTGTGGTGGGGTTAATCCTAGCTAGAAAAACAGCGAAAACAACAGCCAGCCCTGTTAACCAGCACTGTGTTTTCCTGGACTGGGCTGGGGAGGGCTCGAGGTTTACAGGCATTAGAGGGCAGCGTTAAATCTCCAGCTTGATTTCATCATGTTAGGAAATAACCTTTTACAGTGCCTCTCTCTCTCTCTCTCTCTCTCTGCCTTCATCCATCCACTCCCTCTGTCTCTCTCTGATGTTAACTGCTCTTCAGTGTGTAGAGAGGGAGCATCACAGTCATTCCATTAAGGTTATATTGCAGTCTTTCAGGTTTTTTGCATTGTTGTGTGTATGTGTTTTTTTTTAAATTAGCAATTTTGCTGTTTTTTAGTAATACTCGAGAAGTGGCCATAATTGCTGGAAACAATTTCCCGTACGGTGGGAACATGTGGCCTGTGGGTTAGCATTCATGTTACAAGCCTTTGGCAACAAGTTGTGGCCAAAGCTGAAGTGGCTCTATCAAACGAACACACACTCTGACTTGAACAAAGTCCAGGATAAGTTAACTGAATGTTTACTGTTACATATTTACCAAACCACGACTTTCCCATGACCTGGCCAGCGATTGAAGCCAAATGCTAAATTCTTGTGTCGGTGTGTTTGTGTTAGAGCACCTGCTCAGCCTAAACTATAACAACTTTCATTTGAGTCAGCATGGGTTTAAAAGTTTGTTTTAAGAACATACTGGTGTAAAGCGGGTGGTGTACTTGCTGAACAAACTTGTTTTGAAACAGCAGAAAACCTGCAGTAAACCTAACTAACTATACTCTTTGTTTACATATTTGTGCTAATGTCTTGTGCTCCAACTGTTGGTGCTTTTCTCTGAGCTAACATACCATTTCTGTTTTTCTACTCTTCATGCACCCCTTTCTGGTATGGGATGTAAAGAAACAATTTGTTTCCATTTCGGACAAGTTTGACTTTGTAAGCATACAGCCTCTTTTAATGTTAGTTTTTTATGGAAACTATTTATGTTGCACACATATAGAGATTACATTGTATGTATTAGGTCTTCTAACAACATGTGTGCTAGTGACAAAATGTCACTAAAATAAATATACCATTAACATACATATGAACATACACACACAGCAAACCACTTCACGATTCTGTATTATTTACTATCCTGCATTTGCTTTGCTTTGTCTGTTCTATATAAATACAGTTATTATTTATTCTCCCGGCAGACACGGCCAAACACCAAGTGCTGGCCAGTGGCTCACACACATACCTCTCTCCTGAGCCATAGGTGAGCAGGTGATTGGCGGGTGGGCTCCATCTGGTCCATTTCCAGAGTTCTGCGTGGCCATAGTGGAACCTGCAGAACAACATAAAGCCCGGACATGAAGATTCAGACATCCACTTTATACTGCATTGACTTCAACCGGGTCTTTGTAACAAAAGCTGTCACGTTAAAAGAAAACGTTTTGCATGAACTGAATTTACGTCTTTGTATGAAAGCAAGGTCAAGAGAAAATGGATTTATACTTGCTACCCATCTGTCTTGCTTTAACCTTGAAGGAAACTGCAGGAACTGTTGTAACAAAAAAACACTGAAGGACCACTTGTGTCTTTCTCTCTGCATTTCTTTTCAATGGCCCAGAAGTTATCTGGTTCAAAAAGGTTTTCTGTTATTTGACTGAAAAACAAGAGAGAAATCAGTATTAAGCGAAAGGTTTGATTTAAGCAATAATGTCAAAGGTTTTGATGCCAAATTTAGCCTTTACGCCAGGAATCCACTGACTCTGGCCACGGTATATTAGAGCTGCTCCACGGTTTTAATGCGTCCTTCAAAGTCCACTGGAAGCGTCTCAGAAGCGTTTCAGCAGCGGAGCGTGCAGCGTGCCCCACATTATTTACTTGTTCTTAAATTGCCCTTTTTGTGCTTCTAATACCTTCCTCACAGCTCTATGTGACCCTGTCTCCACAAGGAGCATCTCAGAATCAGAGCGTTTTGCCTGCTTGATTTTGCTGACATGTTTGATTTTGTTGATTTGGTAATCAGTGTTTGCATTTTGTGCTTCTACTATGATTGTGAAGGCTACGTAGTTAAATAATTTCCTATTGTGTCCGTTTTAACTGTGTTCATTGTTGTTTTACGATCGAGAGTCGCCACAGGGTGTTTCATTTTGAAATTTGACCAGATTCTCTATGCCGTTCGGTGTCTGACTTCCTGCCTGGTTCAATCTGCTCTGTGCTGCTTGATGCGGCTTGCATCAAAAATAGACCTGCTACCTATTCACCGCTTCTGGGACGCGCTGCAGCCGTATCTGGTGGACTCACAAGCATTGACTATAATGTCTTAGCTCCTATTAGCTCCGGCAACCGCGGCGCAGCCATAATGTGCCGTAGCTGGAGTAGATGGATTTTAGGGGTTACAGACACACTGAGAAATCAGCACAATCACTATCACGAAGTTGTTTGTGATTCACTATTAGCATAATGACAAATTAACTTCACGAGGACATATCAAGTCATAGATCTCTGTGCCACTTCCTTGAGTAAGCATTAAAACCAGAGTGTTCCCCTATAGAAAACCTGAGCCATTTGAGGATTATTGATTAGGCGCTTGTGTGGGTCTTTGGGCTGCGCCTGTTCCATTGAAATCCAATAGTGAGTTGAGGGTCTGATTAGGACAATGGCAGACGGAGACGATGGCGGATTGATTTGGCCCAGAGGAAGGAGAGAGATGGCAAATTAACCTTTTATCTTTGGATTCAGACCTGAAACAATGAGGAGAGGGCAAGACAACAGGGAAAGTGGTTTGGTGTTTTCAAACTGCACTGGTTGTCCTTTGCTGTGGATGACGTGAAAGATTCAGTGCTTAAATAAAGTGACATGCAACATATGAGAAATATTGACACGGTTCAACTGCACACCTTTAGTGATGATCATCGTCAGTACATATTTTTACAATTACGGTATATGATTTGGCTTGCCTCTATAGAAATGTGCCAAAAGTAATAATTTTCTCAGGATGATAAATTATGAAGTGAAGTTGTCCTTAAAACTCACAGTGAATATAAAGCCCTTATTATAAGGGAAACACTTCACATTATTCAATCACACAGTAGAAAGTGTGCTGTTTCGAGAAGTGTGTGTGCAGGTGTGTGTTCGTGTGTGTGTGTGATGTGTCAGTCCACGGTAGCACTAATACATGGCTGGAGGTGGCACACTCTCCACATAAACAAACCCAATTAAGTCAACATAATTGCTTTGCATAAAACTGCATAAACAACATTTCCATACACTTGGCCGCCTACACACACACACACACACACACACACACACAACACACACAGACGTAAAAGTAATTGGACAAACAAGTGTACATAAACAAAGGCACATAGGATATCTACTGAAATATTCACACAATACACACACACACACACACACACACATACAGACCCCCTGCCTTACACATGAATAGATCCAGCGGTGCTGCTTCAAAGAGGGAATACACGATTAGTTAGTCTGTCACCATGTGGCGGGAGGGAAGGGGAAACGTCAGTGTGCGTAAACTAAGGAAACTCTACAAACTAGCTACATTGTTATAAGTGCGTATGTACAGTGGTGACAGAAGTTTTTCCTTACTTAAGTAAAAGTAGCAATGCCAAAATGTAAAGTAAAAAATGTAAAACTACTCAAGCAGTAGCAGGAAAGGTGTACAAAGTTGCCAAGTAGAAGGAATTACACGTACAAGGAATTTGCTTTGGTGACAAGGTGCCGGACATAAACTTATATTTAATGTAAAAATATGGAATAATGTACACATTATGCATAATGGCCCATTGATTTTTAATGTTTATTATACACACACACACACACACACACACACACACACACACACACACATATATATAATGTGTACATTATTCCATATTTTTACATTAAATATAGGTTTATATATATATATATATATGTGTGTGTGTGTGTTTTAATTGGATTATAATTAAAGGTAGTATTGTTGTAGTTTTCAGTGGACTTTAGCAATTTTCAGATTGCAACCACAAACTTTCCAAGCGTGTGCTCGTGCAGAGATCGACACACCGGAGACAGCTTCACACAAAATCCTGGAAACTCTGGTAAACTCCCACTGCAAGGTTACAGTATTATTTTTATTAGTTTGATGTTGAACTAATCCATGCCCAGTTAGATCACAGTAAGTAATGTTACTGTAGTAAGCAGTATGTGTTCTAAGATGAGCACATGCTTTTATATGAATCTAAATTTGCAAAGTAACTATAACTGTAACTGTAATGTAGCTGTCAAAAACATTCAAAAACGTAAAAACTTCTCTCTGAAATGTAGTGCAGTATTAAGTAGTTAGTAATAATGGAAATACTCAAGTATACGTAACTCAAATTATACCTATGTACAGAACTTTAATTAAATTTACTTAGGTACTTTCCATCACTGTATGTACTGTATGTGTGTGCAGAAGTGTGTAGAAAAGTGCTTCCTCCAATCTGCATGTGCACTCTCGTGTGTGTGCTCCTTTCTGCTTCAGTGTGTATATTGACACTTCATTGTACCATTTATGTGTCTGACTCGAAGGAGCCTAAAGCCTCTAGTAGAGGGGTCATGGCCACTTGTTAGCAGAGGGACGGCTTTAGCTGCAGCACAGGTTTAGATGGGTGGAGGGGTATGGAAGTCGACCCTATGATAAAGGCTGGCCTCTGTGTGTGTATGTGTGTGTTTTTGTGTGTGCAGGGATGCATGCCAGGCACCAGCTATGCTGTCAGACTCTGTTTGTTTGGATGGCAGAGTGGTGGTGGCAGCAGCTTGTACTGTGTGTGTGTGTGTGTGTGTGTGTGTGTTTGCGTGTGTGAGTACATGCCACTATGAACGTACAAATAGGGAACAGTGCCCTCCATGCTCCACTACTCTCTCTACATACCCATGTAAATTGTCACCAGAGATGAGATTAATGTAAAGCCAAACAAATGTGTGAGTGTGTGTGAGAGAGAGAGAGAAAATAAGGGAGAAAAGGATGAACGACAAGAAACAGAGATCCTTTTTGAGAAAGAGGAAATTGAAAAACAGACGAGGAGTAGTAGTATAGTTGAGTTGACAAGGCCTCACCCCTCTTTCTCTGCAATGAACGACTGAAGCTTGGAGCACTTTGTAATAATTTCACTACCAATTACTGTCCAAACAAAACCTCTCCTCAAATTTTCTCCCCTTCCCTTTCTCTCTCCTCTCCTGTCCTCACGATCATTTTTAACAAGGTGCCATTAAATAATTACGTCCAAATAAAACAAACTCCACAGTAAGTCCTGGCACGTTTAATCCGTACCATTAATAATTCATATGCTGAATCTTTGACGTGCAGTTCTTCTCCGCATACCGCTGAGAGAGAGAAAGGGGAGAGCTAAATGTCAGCAGGAGGCTGACTGTAGATCTTTCCCTGTCCACAGGAAAAAAAAACTAGCTGGCTATGAATAAAAATAACAAAAACAAAAAATAACAAATAAATAGTAAGGAAAACCTTCCACCATCCAGGTCATCTCCTTTTGAATGGTGGCTGATTAAATATAGGTGTTGATCCATTTGTAAGTTAGTCTGGCTGTAACTATGCACAATATGTAATATTCTGTGTACATGCATGCAAGTATATGTGCATTTTTGAGTGTTTCTTTTTGTAAATAAAAAAAAAAGAAATTATGTTTGTCTACATTTGATCTGTTTAAGTTTTTGGATATTTTCTGTAAGTTTGAGTGCTTTTAAAGTGTAGCAGGGACTTTGTTTAAATATTTGTGATCACACTTTGCGCCCCTTTTTGTGCCTTTTAGACTTTTACTAGGTATGTTGTCATGTGTATGCGTTTGACTGTGTCTTTGTTTCAGTGTTTGGATCTCTTTGTGTGTGCTAGGGTTCCCATAGGTGCTCTATATCACAATTAGCACATGTGGCACTTCACTTCACTGTCTGTAATTTACACTTCCAGAAGCACCCAGCTGAGCACAAACATATACACAAACAATATAAACATACACAAACACACAAAATGAGTGCATTAAAAAAATCCCTGATACACAGTTTTAATGGGAACAGCGTTTAGGAAGCAAGGTGCTTTTATTTTTAATTAACTGTGTACTTTCTAACTTGTGTTGTTGTGTTTTTCTTCTCAAAGAATCAAATGCAGTACCTGAATAATCTGTGGTTTTGGGGGCAGGTCTTCAAACACGACTCAATCATGAGAGCGTACCTGTGCAAATGTTTGTTCTTAACACTGACCTTCGGTCGAGGCAGTTGGCCGCTCACCCTCAGTCTAGATTCTGCTGAAGGTTTCGACATGTTAAAAAGGAATTTTTC